TGGCACGTGGACGATAGTTTCACGGCCTCCTAACGCTAATATTGTTCGTTCTATGTGGATATTTTGTCATAAGTTTGATGCAGATGGTCGTTTATCAAGATACAAGGCTCGTCTCGTCGCCAATGGTAAATTTCAACAGATTGGAATTGATTGCGATGAAACTTTCAGTCCCGTAGTCAAGCCTTCAACAATTCGTACGGTTCTTCATGTTGCTGTATCTCGTCAATGGCCGATCCGTCAACTAGACGTCAAAAACGCATTCCTTCACGGAAATCTTGATGAAGTCGTCTACATGCATCAGCCTCCTGGGTTTGTAGATGTCACTTGACCCAACCATGTATGCCTTCTCCACAAGTCATTATATGGTCTCAAGCAAGCCCCACGTGTTTGGTATCAACGATTTGCTCAATATGCAACTAAAATCGGCTTCAAACAAAGCAAATCAGATGCGTCTCTTTTTGTTTACTCCCGTGGACAAGATCTAGCTTATCTCTTGCTGTACGTCGATGACATTGGTCTCACTGCGTCAACACCAACATTATTACGGTCGATCATAACATCTCTTAGCTCTGAATTTTCAATGACTGATTTGGGTGATCTTCACTATTTTTTTGGAATTGGTATAAACAGGAGCAAAGATGGGCTATTTCTCAATCAACAAAACTACGCAGCTGATATTATTCATCGAGCTGGAATGTCAGGATGCAATCCCTGCTCAACACCAGTAGATACATCCTCCAAGCTGGCTGCAGACGCTGGCCCACCAGTCGCAGACCCTACTTTATACCGGAGTCTTGCCGGCGCCCTCCAATACTTGACGTTTACACGTCCGGACATAGCTTATGCTGTACAACAAATCTGCCTTCACATGCATGATCCTCGAGAGCCACATTTCAATGCTCTAAAACGGATCATACGATATATCAAAGGAACGCTTACTCATGGAATTCAAATCACACCAACAAACACCTCCAAAATCACCGCCTATACTGATGCGGACTGGGCTGGTTGTTCTACAACCCGACGATCCACATCAGGCTACTGCATCTTTCTCGGAGACAACATAGTATCATGGTCATCTAAACGCCAGCCAACAGTATTTAGAAGCAGCACCGAAGCAGAGTATCGTGGAGTTGCTAACGCCGTTGCTGAAGCTACCTGGCTCCGAAACCTCCTCTTGGAACTGCATTGTCCCATCAACACTGCTACAATAGTCTATTGTGACAATGTAAGTGCGGTTTATCTTTCGACAAACCCGGTCCAGTATCAACGAACGAAACATGTCGAAATTGACATCCATTTTGTCCGCGAGCGAGTTGCATTAGGACAAGTCCGAGTACTTCATGTTCCTTCAAGTCACCAATATGCAGACATCTTTACTAAAGGCCTCCCAACAGCTCTATTCAGCTCTTTTCGCACCAGTCTTAAGGTTCACCCTCCTCTCGTTAAGACTGCAGAGAAGTGATAGATAAAGAAATATAATAGAATAAGAATATAATATATTTTGTAATTATTATTTAACCGTTGTAATATTACTATATAAACATCAATAGAATGAAGAGAGGCACGGATTATGCTATTCATTATCCAACAATTTTCTCTTCTCTTTTGCCTCTCACTATGATAAAAGATTGATCTTCGAGATTCAATTAAACAACCGATCATTAACTCAGATGGTAAACTAAAAGCATGGAATTCAGTAGTTTACCCTATATATATATATATATATAGATAGATATAGAGACAGAGAGAATCAACTAAAATTTAACACACTTCCATCTCGTTACTTATTTGATTTGATTAATTAGTATAAAATATATAACGGTATTTTGTGACATTTAGTATATTACTAAGCTGAATTTAACTGTAAAACGAATACAATATTTTTAACTTTTACAGTACAAAAATATAGTACTTTAGTCAGTAAGTAAATAAAGTACGCAGTATAATCTGATTTTGCGGATCATAAACGACAGAAACGAAATTTAAAAATACAAGACCAGACAAACTCCAGAGTCATCTTGATATGGTCACTATCTAAAATAAAATGTTATCCACAGTGGCTTAACTTTTTTTAATCGACAGTGGCCTAACATTTGTTACATTTTTTAAAACAACTCTCGCTTCTTGTGACTCTATCCTCTACGTTCAAGTTGATAATATAGTTTACCAATTTATTTCTTTTTACTTTTTTTAGACAAGATCCGCATTTATGGTCGAAAAACCGTACACGTCAGTGAAAAGACAAAAAGGAGGTCTGCCTTTGTTTGCCTCTTCGATGTTCGGTGTTCCTTGTGATATCAGAAAATAACTTTTGTTTTTTTGTGAGAGATTTTCCTTTCTTATAATTTATTGAAGGAGGTCTGCATTTGTTTTTCTGGGGAACACAATTAATTGAAATAATCAGAAAATATATATCTAAATTATGAAAATCTTTATCGTATTGTTGTCGAAAATGTTAGAAGTCTATATGTTACTGTGGTACAGAAATGCCTTTATTAACCTTGTAAAGATTCGGAAGAAAATTATTTTGGTATAATAATGTGTTGAAGAAGTTCATCCTTACTAAATTGTTAGAAAGTAAATTATTGGATTCTCTTTGTATTTTATTTGTAAAATTTCTGTAATTCATTTCAGCCAATATTAATAAAACCAAGTATTAAACAAAAAAAAATCGCATTTATTAACACGGTTAATATGGTCTCATTTAGGGATGGACAAAAAAAACCATAAATATAAAAACTAAACCATACTGGATAGAAAAAAAAATAATATAATTGGTTATGATTAAACTTAAAAGGTTTTTTGGTTATTTTTTTTCATATTTTTGGTTTAGGTTTAGTTTGGTTAAAAATTATCAAACCAAAATATTTTATTGGTTTTAAAACTAAATATTAAATAATTTATATTTTTTAATTTTCTTAATTTAGTCTAGGTCCATATATTTATTATTAAGCTTAATTATATTTATAATTTACTAATTTAAAATATAATATTTATAAAAATATATACATATAAATAATAAAAGTTATAAACTCTAATTTTCAATTAAAAAAAACGTTTGTGGTTAACTTCTCCTTCACATTCAAAACTTTTTATTCTAACTTTCTAGATATTTAATTTTAATTTATATCTATTTATTGTTTTCTAGTTATTGGTTTTGAAAGGTTTGATACTTTATTTGTTTACATGTTCTTAAATCTATTTTTATTTCATGATTGATATTCAAATTTGATTCCTTTATGGTCTTTAAATATATTATAAGTTTATAATTATATTTAGATTTTATAAAAATATAAATTATACTCAATATTTATATATTACTTGTATATCAAAGATTTATAAACAACATGGGGAAATAAAAATCTGTAATTTTTTTTTAGTTTTGCTTTTTTATATAAATTTAGTTTTTATTGATGGATTTTTATGATTTGGATTCTATTTTTTGAATTTTTGTTTTATTTTACTTATATCTATTAGTATTATTTCTATTAGTTTGAATCAAATTTTTTCATAATAGTAGTATAAATTAAAAAAAAAACGAAGCCGAGCCATAACAAACCTGACTCTCGATCATTCTATATTTTGAATTATGGAATAGTATATTACGATTTTGAATGGTAAACATATTAGATAAATTTAGTAAAAAACTAGGAAAAAAAGGAAAGTAGATTGTATTCGATCATGTATTCTCTATTTGTATTCTACTTTGATTTTTTAGTGAAAATCAGATGTTAGAAAAGGGAAAAAATGCTAGCGTTAAATAGTGTATATTCATTTTGGTAGAAGGATATATTATTCTATATTTTAGCTTTTCAACAAAATTAAAACAAAGCAAAAATTTCTTCTATTTTTCACTTGATTGGTGAAAGAGGCTGAAATGAAAGTAAACTTTTATTTTGATGGAAACCATTCAAAGCTTACATTTGACTCTTATTTTTGTTTTCACCATATTTTCATTTAAAAGGCCAAACGGGCAATACATGGTATACATAGAATTCGAAGCCCAACCCGAACTCTTTACATATTAACCAATTTTTTGATTCTCCGGATAGAGAAGTGTGATAGTCGTGAAACGCGAATCTGATCCGTCTCAACTTTGATTTGAGAGGGTTGTAACTGTGCATGTGATCTGCTTCTCTTAATATAAAATGGGATGTTACGTATCCACGGTCTGTCTTGCGAGATTTATATAAGAATTTTGTGAAATTTTACCCCCCAAAAAAAAAACTATGATTTGAGCCACGTTTTTTTCACAAGGTTTCACAAAATTCTTATATAAATCTCGCAAGACAGACCGAGGATACGTAACATCCCATTTTATATTTAGAGAAGCAGATCACATGCACAGTTACAACCCTAAACTCACTTAAATATTTAAATTAATATTAAATATTCTTGAACTTGTCTTTAACCGTAAGAGGCAACTAACATTTCCTTCGTACATGGAATGACGAATGTTAATGTGCTCCATGTCACCGATCGCGCTCTTTTGTGTGCCATCATGATCTATGCCACAATTCTTGCTCTTTCAGTCTTCATTTGAAGTTTTGAACGTTGTCTTCTCTTAAGGTCTCAATTCTCTATTGTCATCGTCGTGGCTAATACTACGATCTATTTTCACTTCCACATCTGTGCATGTCTTAATTTGCTCGCGTGGGTTTGTGGTTCTCATTTTCCATTTTTTTAAACAAAGGTTTATTGAAAACAGTGAACCTTATTTTTTAATCTTGTTTACGCTTCTACAATGCACGATCATGATCCTAGTAATGTAACGAATATATTTTAGAGATGAAGTACTTAAATCGCCAGATGTGGTTAATTTAAACTATGATTGATCAATAATAGGCTCACTCACCTCACGTTTAGTAGATACTACGTAGTGCATACGTAGTTGGTATTAGAAAAAAAGAACCTCGCGCGACACGGTATTGTTAAAATAGTAATTATTGTAAATTGCCAAAAGCTGTATTTGCAATATAAAATAACATAATCAGTGTATGAAGTGAGGCTCAAAAACAATCTTCATCTCTCTCTAGTCTCTAGTCTCATCTACCGATGGCGAGCAGCTGTAATTTCGTGAGTGTTCTAGGGGTATTTTTGGTCATGACTTTGTTCTACTATCCGATCACTGTCGCCGGACAAAAGAATTCCGGGGCGGCATTGTTCACGTTCGGTGACTCCAACTTCGACGCCGGAAACAAACAGACTCTCACCCAAACGAACGTTGCGCAAGGTTTCTGGCCGTACGGAAAATCCCGAGATGATCCCAACGGCAAATTCTCCGACGGTTTCATCGCTCCGGACTTCCTCGGTACGATTTCCTTTTTAATAGTAATGATAGTCGGAGGATATTTAACCATGCATGATGCCATAATCTATGCTCATCTTCGTAAAACCCAAGTAGTTGTACCTGTACCATTAAAAGTGTTTATTACTAATTAACCACGATTGTTGCCACTAGTGTTAATTTATCAAAATAACGATGAAATTATTAGCGTTAATATTTTGTGTGTTTTTACGTTCCACTAACTATTACTATATAGTATTAGTTAACTTTTCTTGAACATTTGGTATTAGTCAATATTTTTTTAACTGTCAGTATTAATCAACTTTCTATACGTTTACAGAAAGTAACACCACTAATTATTTTATAAATGAATGTTTCATCATTAACTAATAAAAATACATTAAAACATAAAACATTTGTCTTTTTTAAATATTTTTTTTAAACATCTTTCAATTAGAAACAAAGGGAGTAGTATTTATCAACTTTTTATGTTTTTAAAACTAGCATTTCAGCTTTATATAATTACTGTATTCCTCTTAAAACTTGTCGTCAGTCAATCAACTGCTCGATCATTTGATTATTTCGCTAGCATTATAAAAATAAATAACTATTAATATGGGGTTTTCAGAGTGTCAAATGCTTGCACTTTTCACAGCACATCGAAGTTTTTGTTTGTTAACACAGACGTTGAAATCACATAATAATTTGAAATCGAAATTAATCTGCACTTCTCAAAGCACATTGGAGTACACATATTATACGTTAGATATACAATAGAGCATCGTATACTGAGAATGTGGGTAAGGCCATACATGGACTATACATAATATAGATAATTGTTTTGTAAAAAAAGGATTAATATAATTGTTTTTTTAATAAATGATTATAGAATTATAAAACCTTAGGTCAAGAAAAAAGTATCTTAGAATTATAATATCATAGTAGAGGTGAACATGAAAATAATATCCATGATAAATATTAATAAAACTAGCTAGTATACACGAAATCTGAAATAGTTAATAAACTTCGAAATTTCGTCAAACAGTCAAAAATTAAAAGACATTAAAATTATGTGCTAACTCTAAGTTTCAAGTACAAATACTGAATTATACGGTAATTTAGAAACTGACTGAAATACGTGAAAATCTTAAGTATAATAAAAATGCAGCAAAATTCATGGGAATTCCGAACGAGATCCCGCCGGCACTTAAACCGAACGTCAATGTCTCACGTGGAGCTAGCTTCGCCGTCGCCGATGCTACTCTTCTCGGAGCTCCAGTAGAATCTGTAAGTCCACCTGATTTTTCTTCTCTTTTTTTTAACGTCGATTTCTTAACTATATATATCACATATGTTATATGTATATATTTTTACCAAAAGTCAACTGATATTTTTTTTGCATGATATATCCGTCTTTTTTTTAACATATATAATTAATAAGCGTTTTTTTTTGTTGTATTCGTGATCCAACAGTACACAGTACACAACGACACCAAACTAATATCAATAACTTTAACTACAGTCATAATAATATTGGTTTTTTTTTTTCAATTTAGTTGACTCTGAATCAACAAGTGAGGAAGTTCAATCAAATGAAAGAAGCAAACTGGAACGATGACTTCATCAAGAAGTCAGCGTTTATGATATACATTGGTGCTAACGATTACTTGAATTTCACCAAGAACAACCCTAACGCCGATGCATCTGCCCAACAAGCTTTCGTCACTTCCGTGACCAACAAGTTAAAGAACGATATCAGCTTGTTGTATTCATCAGGAGCTAGTAAGTTCGTGATCCAAACACTGGCACCATTGGGTTGCTTACCGATAGTCAGACAAGATTACAGCACCGGGATGGATCAATGTTACGAACCTCTCAACAATTTGGCAAAACAACACAACGAGAAAATCGGACCGATGTTGAACGAAATGGCTAGAACCACCCCTGGTTTCCAGTTCACCGTCTTCGATTTCTACAGTGCCATTCTTCGTAGGACGCAAAAACCCTCAAGCTATCGTGAGTTGGTTAATTACAAACAAACTTCAATTTATTATTATCTTAAGCTCCGATACCATGTGAGTACTCATATACACAAAACCGTTAAAATTTGTTATTACTAGGGTTTTTCATGACGAACTCATCGTGCTGCGGGATTGGAACACACGATGCTTATGGTTGCGGTTTACCTAACGTGCACTCGAGGCTATGCGAGTACCAACGATCTTACTTATTCTTTGATGGGCGTCACAATACCGAGAAGGCACAAGAAATGTTTGCTCATCTTCTTATTGGAGCCGATAAAAATGTGATCCAACCGATGAACGTCCGTGAGCTCGTAGTTTACCCTGTCGATGAACCTATGACTGAGGTTTGGTTGCCTACAACGTCAGACACTGTCCAGGCCAGCGACTCTAGCTCGTCATCTAGCCGTGGCTACGAGTTCTACTGAGTCTCTATAAATCAATCTTTTTTTTCGGTCAATCTGGTTTTCACAAGGGTCATGAGTTCTTTATAAACGTATCGTCAACGGAATCATAATGCTTTTAGCTTGCAATGTTTTGATTTTTTTTTTTCTCTAGTGAGTTTGCCACTATAATAAAAGATTGACATTTTACTCACCAAAAGCTTTTGTTTCCATTTTAAAACGTTTTGGGCAGATAACCATTTAACCTTATAAAAATGGAACATGGAGTTGAACTCCGATAGAGAAAGCCGTAGGGCGTAGAGTATGCAATATGGTCTGATTTTGTGCACCATAAACTAAATCATTAAATAAGACCATACATAGTCGTCGGTTACTTATTAACGAAATAAGATATGTGATCCAAAGTGGCTTAACTTTTACTTCGAAAAGATCAGACAGCGAGGATGGGGCATTATTAGTCGTCACATATGATTGTCGGTGACGGTGACACAACGAGCAATTATTTGTTGCACCCCACCCACTTGGACTACAATGCCCATGTCATTTTGTAAGTTTTTAAATCTTTATGCGTTTCCCCATTCATATATTACGTTTTGCCCCCCCCCCCCCCCCCCCCCCCCCCCCCCCCCCCCCCCCCCCACCAACTTGGACTAAGGCTCAAAATCTCAAATCAAAGACCACACTCAATTTTATTGAAATTACATTTTAAAAAATCGTTGAAACCCCTAAATTTTAACTACAATTATGACGATTTCGAGATTTTGGCTATTAAATATTTCTACACTATTTCTGAAAAGTTACTACACATATTAGGCTAATTATGAGATTGGTCTACGTAAGTAAATATTATTTTGAAATAATATATTTTTAGTTAAATAGTTTGCCTCCAATAAAATAATTTAAAATAATTAGTCTATGAAATCTTATTTGGATTCTTCAATTATGGTTGAGTGGATTCAACCTACATATATATTAACCCTGAACAAATCAATGCTGTTTAAGGAATTGCAAAAAATGTTCATGAGACGGAGGTAACAAAACCTTCTAAAAGAAAAAAGGCGAAGGTAAAAAAGAAATGTTATGTATATATAATAGATATAATTTTGGTGAGAGTGTTGTTTTTATGAACTCTTACTCGCATTTTTTTTAAATGAATGTGAAATTTATGCAATCAAAAACAGTGGCAGAGGCAGCTCTTTAGGAAGGGGGGGGGGGGGGGGGGGGGGGGGGGGGGGGGGGTCATTTGACCCATATGGATTTCTGTAAAAAAGTTTTTTACTTGTATTTTGAAAAAGAAATTTGGTGAAATGTTACAAAACATAAAGCTCTCCTCATATTTTGTCTCCCACGAATATTTAAACACAAAGTATATGACTAACAAGATTAGATAAGATGGACAATTATAGAGCAACCTCGTCCTTATTTTCATCAGAGACATCCAGAGGCGATTCAATATACGCATAATTAAGTTCAAATAAAGCTTTAAGATTATAAGGTCCAGTGATATTAGGCGGTCCGCTCCAAATCAGCTCTGTAATTTGTCGATGAGCCTTCTCCGTCAAATGAGCAGCATCGAAAAACAAATAATCCGTAACGTTTTCGCATAACTCGTAACTTTTTCCCATTCGGTTCCCACAAGTATTGGTTCCTCTAAATGGTCCGCTTCCACAACATGCCTTATTCCCTTCCTTAAACCCTTCAAAACAAACAAACAAAACTTTCAAAAAGCTACACTAAAGATCAGTCTCTCACATGCATATATACCTATTTACCATATAATTTTAGTTACCGTATTTCATAGGATTGTTGATTCTTTCCAATAAAGAAGTGTGATAGTCGTGAAGGGCATATCTGAATCCAGGTAGTTCACGTTGTAGCCGCCTTAAAGCTTCCGGTAACTTCTTGTTGTGCAAGTCGATCAGCTCGCTGACCGGTCCGTGACAAGATCCTATATTTGTTCTGTCTAACGTCAATCCGGCTGGTGCACAATCATATGCTCCCACATTCAAGATTCCGAACTTCCTTCCTCCCATATTATACATTTCCTAAGAAACATAACATATATATCTCACTTTAGACCAAAAGTTAGTAAAATTTGAGATCATATTTTTTATATTTTTGTTTTACCTTGATCACGGATGTCGTGTTACCAATAACAATATCGGCGAATTTCTCGTTGGAGTTGGATTGGAAAGGAGAAGAGGTTGCCGATATGGGATAAAAATAGTCGTTGCCCCCAATACTAAACAGATAAACAGCTCTTGAGAAAACCCTATTAGCTTCTACCTCTCCTAACGCAGATCTCAAGCTCCTTACAACGTTCTTAAAGCTTTTTAACTGTGTTCCCAAATTTATGGCCTTGAACGGTTAAGAAGGAAAAAAAGAAGAAGAGAGTTAGTTAATCAAATAACTAGATCTTCTTGTCTACTCTATTTTAATTGAAAGTACTTTTAATATATTTGCTGTCTCAAAATAAATATCGTTTTAATTTTTCAATGTAACTTTTCTTCGCAAATATCTAGTACCTTCATACATTCATGATTAATAATAAAAAAAATCTGAAATAGAACAAAATTTCAAAAGATAAGTGTGTTTGTAAACACATTTTGACATATATTTTTTTATTACTATTTTGTATGAGAAAACATCAAAACGATATCGAAACAGAGGAAATAGTAAAAAAAAATGATAATATTTACCATTCCGGGAGAGGTTTCCACCAAAGCTCCGGCACCGGCTGAAGCAAAACTAACTCCATAGGTAAATTGATTATTATCGTTGCTTGGCTGTAGATTTGGTGGGATCAACGGTAACCATGCGTTCTCAGCTGTCACGTTAGCGTGCAGTTAAAAGAGTGTTGAAATTTTGTGGGAAAAGACATTTAATGAAAAACAGAGTAATTTTGTTACCGATGAAATCGGGAATCACACGTCCGTCGGAGACTCTTCCGGTTGGAAACTTAAAAGTGGTTTGACCGTACGGCCAGAAATTCGATCGGAAAGTTGTATTGATGTAGTTGTTGTTTCCGGCATCGAACAGAGAATCTCCGAACACGAACAAAGCAGCTTGGTTTGTTACCAGATTGTTATTCTCTGTGCAATTTACTGAGCTGGTCGATAAGATTATTGTGTAGACGATGAAGATTATGGAAACTAATCGAGAGCTTTCCATATTTAATGTTGTGTTCTTATTTATACAAAAGTAGTTGCTCTTTTTTTCTGTATCGCTTTAACTTATACTATATTTTTGACACGTTTTTTATTTCACTGTTTGATTGTTATATATATGGCCCCCACCCACTTGGACAAAGGCTCAATATCTCTAATCAAAGACCACACTCAATTTTATTGTAAACTACACGAAAACCTCTAAATTTTAACTACAATCATGAATCATCACAATTTTTTAATATATACTATCTTATTACTAAATTATTTTAAATGACGTTTATGAGATTGGGTATTAAATATTTTCTACACTATTTCAAAGTTACCACATTGGCAATTAAATAGTTGTTTCTGTTTGATATATATATGTGTAACTCATAAAATAATATTTATTGTTGAGGTTGAAAAACGAATTTATTTATTTGTAACCAGCGTTCATCGTTTGTTTAAATATGAAATTGGTTTACGTTAGTAAATTAGTAATATTCTTTTGTAATAACAGTATTTTATAATATATTTTTAATTATAAAGTTTTGCCTCAAATAAAAAAAAATTTATCGATCCGTCATTGATTTCTGTATTTTTTTTTTTTTTGTGCAAGTATTTCTGTATTCTAATTATATGGGAAATTGCATTGTGTGATCATATTGTAATTGAAAATTAGTTTTGTAATCATAGTAAATGATGGCTATGATATTGTAATACTGAAAAAACTCCTATTTCTACTGGTAAGATTATTCCTTAATTAGACTAGTTTTGTTTGCCTTCTACATGTGGCATCATGGAAAATTAAATAATATTTGGGTTTATTTTGAAAATTTATAGACTGATCAGAGATAAATGCTACTCTACATACAATATTAATATAGTATAGATAGGTAATTATCTTTCCTTCGGTTCGTATATTATATAACAGAGTAACGTTTACTATGGATAGAGTCTAAAAGGTTATGATATAACTAAATGGGGTTTGTGTATCGTTTGTAGTAACTAGAATTTAATTTTAAATTATTTAAGTTATTATATATAGTAACTTTGGTTTAAGTTTCTGAGTTTGGATATATTAGTAAGTAGTAGTTTGTGTTTAGTTTTTAATTATTTGAGTTATTTTATATATGTAATAACTTTGGTTTAGGTTTGTGGTTTTGTGTTTAGTTTTAAATTATTTTAGTTATATTATATAATAACTTTGGTTTAGGTTTAAAGATTTGGTATAGTAAGTAGTGGTTTGAGTTTAGTTTTAAAATATTTGGATTTTTTAAAAAATCTTTAACAAATTACAGTTTATAACGAATTACGATTTGCAAGGGGTTATGTCTTATGGCAGAGGGTATATGTATGATGGTTTGGGTATACTATATAATAGTTTAGATTTAGTTTTAAAATATTTTAGTTTATTTTAAGGGTCTATAACGTATTAAGGCTTACTGTAGATACTATCTTAAATGATTATTGTATAAATAAGTACAAGCAGTTTGGATATATTTTGTAATGGTTTGAATTTACTTTTAAATGATTTCTAGTATAAGTAAAGGGGTTGGGGTAAAGTTTGATGTGGTTTAAGTTTATTTTTAAATTATTTGGATTCATTTTCATGATTTTTAACAAATTACAGTTTATAAAAGATAACGTCTTCTAAAATGACTATTATACATATAGTATAGTAAAAATACTATAGACTAACTTGTTAATCGTATGTTCTGTTATTCTATTTTATATCTATATATACTGACTATTATGTTGTTTATAAGTAATACTGTTCATATAATTAAGAAATTTTAATCTGTTTTTCAAAATTTAAAATATGGTAGAAAGTATTTTTTACAAATATTTTTATTTTTAGATACAAAGTATATGAACAACACGATTAGACAAGCTATATAGCAACCTCTCGTCCTTATTTTCATCATGGACATAAAGGCGATTCTAAATACGCCTAATTGTATTCAAATAAAGCTTTGAGATTATAAGGTCCAGTGACATTAGGCGGTCCGCTCCAAATCAGCTCTGTGATTTGTCGATGAGCCTTCTCAGTCAAATGAGCGGCATCGAAAAACAAATAGTCTGTAACGTTTTCACATAACTCGTAACTTTGTCCCATTCGGTTCCCACAAGTATTGATTCCTCTAAATGGTCCGCTTCCACAACATGCCTTATTCCCTTCCTTAAACCCTTCAAAACAAACAAAAAAAAAACTTTCAAGAAGCTACACAAAAGATCAATTAATCTCTTACATATACATATGTAGTTACCAAGTAATTTTAATTACCGTATTTCATAGGATTGTTGATTCTTTCCAATAAAGAAGTGCGATAGTCGTGAAGGGCATATCTGAATCCGGGTAGTTCACGCTGTAGCCGCCTTAAAGCATCCGGAAACTTTTTGTTGTGCAAATCGATCAGCTTGGTGACTGGTTCGTAACAAGATCCAATATTTGTTGTGTTTAAGGTCAATGCGGCTGGTGCACAATCATATGCTCCCACATTCACGAATCCGAACTTCCTTCCTCCCATTTTGTACACTTCCTGGGAAACATAACATATATTATATCTCTCATTTTAGACCAAAAGTTAGGAAATACTTGAGATCAGTTTTTTTTATTTTTGTCTTACCTCGATCACGGATGTTGTGTTCCCAATAACAATATCGGCGAATTTCTCGTTGGAGTTGGATTCAAATAGAGAAGAGTTTGCATTTATGGGATAAAAATAGTCATTGCCTCCAATACTAAACAGATAAACAGCTCTTGAGAAAACCCTATTGGCCTCTACATCTCCTAACGCAGATCTCAAACTCCTTACAACGTTCTTGAAGCTTTTTAACTGTGTTCCCAAATCTATGACCTTAAATAGTTAAGAAAAAAAAAAGTAAGAGGGTTAATTAGTCAAATAACTAGGTCTTAATGTCCACTCTCTATATTTTAATTGAAAGTAATTATAAAATATTATCTATCTCAAAATAAATATATATCGTTTTAAATTTCAAATGTAACTTTTTTATCACAACGTTTTCAAATTCTAATGTAACGGTTTATCTCAAAATAGATATTGTTTTAAAATTCTAATGTACTTCAGTTTTTTTTTTTAATTATTACTATTTTGTGTTGTAAAAAAAAATTATTACTATTTTGCATGAAAATATCAAAACGATATTGAAACAGAGGAAATAGTTATAATTGATAATTACCATTCCGGGAAAAGTTTCCACCAAAGCTCCGGCACCAGCAGAAGCAAAACTAACTCCATAGGTAAATTGATTATTGTCGTTGCTTGGCTGTAGATTTGGTGGGATCAACGGTAACCATGCGTTCTCAGCTGTAAAAAAAAAGTGTTAAATTTTTGTGGGAAATATATTTAATGACAGAATAATTTTGTTTTTTTTTTTTGAAAAGAGTAATTTTGTTACCGATGAAATCAGGAATCAAACGTCCGTCGGAGACTCTTCCGGTGGGAAACTTGAAAGTGGTTTGACCGTACGGCCTGAAATTCGATTGGAAAGTTGTATTGATGTAGTTGTTGTTTCCGGCATCGAACAGAGAATCTCCGAACACGAACAAAGCAGCTTGGTCTGTTAACAGATTTGTATTCTCTGTGCAGTTTATTGAGCTGGTCGATAAGATTATTGCGTAGATGAAGAAAATTATGGAAACTAATCGAGAGCTTTCCATAGTTCTGTTTTTTGCATGTGAAGAAGCTTTGTCTTTTATATATATATTTGCGACACGTTTGAATTTCTTCCACATTTTGTTTGTTTTTTGTAGATTTTTTTTGTGTGTGGAAAATTGTTTATTGTGATCAAATTGTTTTTCTCAAGCAAACTTTTCAACTGCACGACTTTGAATCGAAATCGACATGATGACGTATATGTAGAAAAGTATTAAGTTGACCAATAGAAGTTCAATATACTTCCTTACTGCCCATGCATTTGTTTTGATTTTTATTTTGTTAATATATCCTCTATATATTAATTGAGAAACATTATAAAAAAAATTATTTTTTTAAATTATTATTAATATCATTTTGTTGATGTATTTTTTTGGTCGGGTTGTGAGAGAAGAAAATCTCCCAATTTATTCAAATAAAAAATCACACCCAATTACACATGAAACTGTCGTGGACGTGCAAGCCCCAACTCATCGTTTCTAGCCACTATAAGTAAGCTAGGCGGAACAACATCAAAACTATGGAAACCTAAAGAAAGAGAAAAAGCATGGTTGGCCAACCCATTTTGGTGATGTATAATCACAAGAATTATTGTAAATAAAAATATAAAAATAGATTTATATTACTAGAATAATTACATATTCTGACACTCATATTAATTTGATCATATAATAGTTTATATCAATATTTTATACATAATTCAGTATTTAATTTATTAAAATATTCTCTTTATTTTTAACAAATAACATATCATATTAATTATTATTTTAAACACTGTATATTTTCTCTTATTTTTCTTTAGACTTATTTTTGTAAAAACAAATATCATCATATCATCCATATAGTAATATATATATATTTATTTTTTGTACATGTGTTATAATTTAATTTTTTTAATGAATAAAAATTATTCAAATGATTAATAAATAATAGTATATTTAAAAGTCTTAAATTGGTTATAAAATTCACAGATATGATGATAATATGTAATATATAAAATTCCTTAACCTAAATATGCGATTATATTTGTTTAAAACTAATATTAAAATTGATTATAAAATTCCATAATTTTGTTTAATTTTAATAATAAAACAAAGCTTTAACTGGTGACCATAAAGGTAACAATAGGAATGAATAAGAAAATGAATGAAATGAACAAAATAATAGGAATTATTGTTCCTTCTTATTTTTTATAGGGAATGTATTAACATTATAGTTTTCTAAAACATAAAGAATGAGAAGGAATGATAGGTACAATATATTTCTTTTAAATGGTGTAATTTTTAAAGAATGATAAAGAATTTAGTATTCATTTCCATTCCTTATGGTCACTAGTTACAGCCCAAATCTTATTGTTATCATAACACATTAGAAATTAATTAATAATTTAATCAAAATGCATTTATTAAATTTGATATATGGTAACTAAACTAATTTATTGATTTTTTTATATTTATTGCTTTCCAAATTAAGAACATAAAAATTATGTTTTCCTTAAATTCTTTGTATATAGTAGAGTAATATATATGGCCCCCACCCACTTGGACGGTTCAAAATCTCTAATCAAAAATAATTTATAGATTTGTCACTGATTTCTGGTTGAGTGGATTCAGCCTACATATATATTAACCCTGAACAAATCAATGTTGTTTTAAGGAATTGCAAATTGTTCATGAGACGAAGGTAAAAAAACCTTATAAAATTTAACATGTATATGATGAATATAGGAATAGGATAGATGTATATTTTTGGTTGGATTGTTAGGATTTTAATAATTATCTTACTTGCAAATATTTTTATTTTTTAAATCCTCTATATATTAAAAGAGAAGCATTTTTAAAGAATAACTTTAATTTTGTAAAATATTACAGTGATGTCATTTTGCTGATGTGTCATCACCAGAATCATTTTCAGCAAAGTTATAAAAATAGACTTATGTTACTAGATTAATTACATGTTATGTCACTCACATTAATTTGGTTATACATTAGTTTATATTAATTATATTGATGATGATTCATCAAAATATTCTCTTTTTTCATTCTTACCAAAAATATATCATACTAATTATTTCTTTAAATACTATATTTTATCTCTTATTTTTATAGAAAAATAAATCATCACATCATTCGTATAGTAATATATATATATATATTATAATTTGAATTTCATAAAACAAATATAAATTACTCAAATGATTAATAAATAAAAATATGTTTTAAAAGACTAAAATTAAAAATAAAGATGTGTAGATAGATGATTCATAAATCAATATAAAAATACATAAATGATAAAAGAAAAAATAAGAAGCTTAATTTAATAGATATTTTTATTTTTAATTTATACAACAAAATAACTTGGTAACAAATTAAAATATTTTTGTAAAGATATTATATAATAATTTTAATAAACTTTTTGATATTAAAAATATTTTTATTGAATCAAAAAGTTAAGAATGTATAAGCATTGACTCAGTTATATACAATTTTTAAATAATTTATTAAAAATAATATAAAAAATATAATCTATTTTTATATAATCCTTATGTATATTTAGTATTTAAAATAAATTTCACAGTAATTTTCTTTTCTCAAAATTTAATATTCTTATGACTATAAATTTTGCGGGTTAATCTAAATATGCATTTACATTCGTATAAAAAATATTAAAATCGACTATGAAATTTTACAATCAAATTTTATTTTTACAATTTTAATACTCTCTATTTCCAAAATATAAGTTGTTTTGCATCAAATCACAAAGATTAAAAAGCAACTTTTTTTAAAAAAAGTAATCATTTAGTATATAAATTAAATATAATTCAACTAATTATGAAAAATAAAAAATATAATCGGTCACATAGTATTCATAGGAAGTAGTAAAAAATATGAAAATAACTATATTGTGAAACAAAACAAAACTTTCTAAAAAAACTAATATTATGAAACAGAGGAAGTAGTAAGAAAAATTTATTATTATCATAACGCATTAAATTTTTAATAATTTAATCAAAATATACTCCCTTTATTTTTTTAAAATTTTAAGATCATGTTATTAATCATGGGTTATAGAAAATATAAAGAGGAATTTCGTATTTCTATCCAGATTGCGCATATCTATTTAAATTTTAAAACTAATTTACAATAGAATTAAATTACCTTAAAATTCATAACATAAACAAAAAAAAATATTTTGTCAATAGTACAACATAATGTTATAAACAGCTCATATAAAATCAGTTGTATTTTGTTATATGATTTTAAAATTATATTATATTAAATACATAATTATTAGTTTACTCTGCAGAGGGTACGGGTTATTACCTAGTACAAAGTATATGAACATCAAGATATCTCTTGTCCTTATTTTCATCATAGACATATAGGCGATTCTAAATACACCTAATTGTATTCAAATAAATCTTTGAGATTATAAGGTCCAGTGACATTAGGTGGTCCGCTCCAAAACAGATCTGTGATTTGTCGATTAGCCTTCTCCGTCAAATGAGAAGAATCAAAAAACAAATAGTCCGTAACGTTTTCGCATAACTCGTAACTTTGTCCCATTCGGTTTCCACAAGTATTGATTCCTCTAAATGGTCCGCTTCCACAACATCCATTATTCCCTTCCTTAAACCCTTCAATACAAACAAACAAAAACTTTCAAGAAGCTACACAAAAGAACAATTAATCTCTTACATATACATATGTAGTTACCAAGTAATTTTAGTTACCGTATTTCATAGGATTGTTGATTCTTTCCAATAAAGAAGTGCGATAGTCGTGAAGGGCATATCTGAATCCGGGTAGTTGACGCTGTAGCCGCCTTAAAGCTTCCGATAACTTCTTGTTGTGCAAATCGATCAATTTGGTGAGTGGTTCGTAACAAGATCCTATATTTGTTGTATTTAAGACCAATGCGGCTGGTGCACAATCATATGCTCCCATATTCAAGAATCCGAACTTCCTTCCTCCCATTTTGTACACTTCCTGAGAAACATAACAAATATTATATATATCGTTTTGGACTAAAAATTAGTTAATATTTGAGATCGGTTTTTTTTTTTGGATTTTCGTTTTACCTCGATCACGGATGTCATGTTACTAATAACAATATCGGCGAATTTCTCGTTGGAGTTGGATTGGAAAAGAGAAGAGTTTGCATTTATGGGATAAAAATAGTCGTTGCTTCCAATACTAAACAGATAAACAGCTCTTGAGAAAACCCTATTAGCCTCTACCACTCCCAAGGCAGATCTCAAGCTCCTTACGACGTTTTTGAAGCTTATTAACTGTGTTTCCAAATCTATAACCTTAAACGATTAAAAAAAAAAAAGAAGAAGAAAAAAAAGGATTAATAAGTCAAATAATTAGGTTTTAATGTCCTCCACTCTCAGTTCGGTGGTTTCTTAACAAATCATTCAAAAAAATATTAACAAAATTAAAAAAAAAAGGAAAAAATAGAATGAAAAAAGTCTTTCATTTATAATGAGAGATTATGAAAAAATTCATAAAAAACTCATCTTGTATGTTGTTTCTATATCATTGGTTTAAATTTTATTTATAATTTCAAATTTATTAAATATTATTATTAGATTGATTAAAGACTCTAATAAGTCTCTCACCAATGCATATGCTCTCAGACTCTCTCTATATATTTTAATTGAAAGTAATTATAAAATATTATCTGTCTTAAAATATATTCTATCATGTTAGAATTCTAATGTAACTTTTTATCACAGCGTTTTAAAATTTTAATGAAACTATTTATCTCAAAATATATATTGTATTAAAATTCTAATGTACTTCAGATATTTTTTTAATTGTTCACTGATCATGATTTTTTTTTTTAATTATTACTATTTTGCATGAAATAGGTAAAATTAATAACATTTACCATTCCGGGAAAGGTTTCCACCAAAGCTCCGGCACCGGCAGAAGCAAAACTAACCCCATAGGTAAATTGATTATTATTGTTGCTTGGCTGTAGATTTGGTGGGATCAACGGTAACCATGCGTTCTCAGCTGTAAAAAAAAGTGTTAATATTTTGTGGGAAATATATATAATGACAGAGTATTTTGTTACCGATGAAATCAGGAATCAAACGTCCGTCCGAGACTCTTCCTGTGGGAAACTTGAAAGTGGTTTGACCATAAGGCCTGAAATTCGATTGGAAAGTTGTATTGATGTAGTTGTTGTTTCCGGCATCGAACAAAGAATCTCCGAACACGAACAACGCAGCTTGGTCTGTTACTAGATTTGTATTCACTGTGCAGTTTATTGAACTGATCGATAAGATTATCGTGTAGACGAAGAAAATTACCGAAACTAATCGAGAGCTTTCCATATTAAATGTTGTGTTCTTATTTATACAAAAGTAGTTTGTTATGTGAAGAAGCTTTGTCTTATATATATATATATATATATATATATATGCCACACGTTTTCATTTATTCCACATTTTGTTTGTTTTTTTTTTGTAGATTTTGTAGATATTTTTTTGGTGTGGAAAATTGTTTATTCTGATCAAGCTGTTTTTCTCAAGCATAATTTTCAAATGCCACGACTTTGAATCGAAATCGACATGATGTCTAGCGTATATGTAGAAAAGTAAAAAATTGTTCACAAAAAAAAGTATACGTAGAAAAGTATTAAGTTGACCAAGAGAAGTTCAATATACTTCCTTACTGCCCATGCATTTGCTACAACGACCAAACTAAACCGGAAAATTATTTATATAAACGGTTTGTGAATCCCCTCGATTTTTTGGTGGCAAAGCTTTGAGTCAACCTAAAACACAAGAAAACTAGGATTCTTAAAAAAAATAAAAATCAAACTTTTACGATACCAAATGCTTCAAAAATATTTACATTGCTATTTAGCTGCCTAAAATATTGAGGTGGGAAACAAAATCAAAGGTGTATACATGGACAAATTCTACTTCAACTCAAACAATGTTTTGAGATTATAAGGTCCAGTAACATTCGACGGTCCACTCCAAATAAGCTCTGCGATCTGTCTATGAGCCTTCTCCGTCAAATGAAATGAATCGAAGAACAAGTAGTCATTAACATTCTCGCATAATTTATAACCTCCCAAAACTCGGCCTCCACAAGTATTGATTCCCCTCAATGGTCCACTCCCACAACATGCCTTCTTACCTTCCTTAAACCCTTCATATCAACCAAAAAAGAATACAAATTAGAGGTTTCTTACTTGTACTTACATATACCATATGCGTTGTTTTACCGTATTTCGAAGGATAGTTGATTCTTTCGGATAGAGAAGTGTGATAATCGTGAAGGGCATATTTGAATCCAGATAGGTCACGCTCTAGACGCTTTAACACGTTAGGCAACTTTTTGTTATGCAGATTGATCAGCTCGGTGATTGGCTTGAAACAAGATCCTATCTTTGTTCGGTCAATAATCAATGAGGCTGGTGCACAATCATACGCTCCTATATTCAAGAATCCGAACTTTCTACCTCCAATATTATACACTTCCTAAGAACACAGAACTCACTCTCATTTCCAAACACACAAGCAAAAAAAATACAGTTTTTGAGATGAATTTCAATATGATTTTTTTACCTCGATTACGGCGGTTATGTTACCGAAAACAAAATCGGTGAGTTTCTCCTTGGAATTGGATTGCATAGTGGAGGAATTTGCAAATAACGAGGGATAAATATAGTCGTTGGCTCCAATATGAAATAGATAAACCGCTCTTGAGAAAACCCTCTTGGCCTCTGAATCTCCCAACTCAGATCTCAGTCTCTTTTCACCGGTTTTGAAGTTTTTTAACTGTGTTCCCAAATTTATCACCTTTATGGTCAAAAAGTTTTAGGAGACAAAAATCGTCATCGACTTTATATTGATGTATGCAATAAGCAGTCTATTTTTTATTAAAGAAACAATAAGTTGTTAAAAGATAAAAACTTGATAATTAACCATTCCGGGAAAGGTTCCGACCAAAGCTCCGGCACCGCCTGAAGCAAAATTTACCCCAAAGGTAAACTGATTTTTACCGTTGCCTGGTTGTAGATTTGGCGGGATCAACGGTAACCATGCGTACTCCGCTGCCACGTCAGCAAACAGTTAAAAAAACAACTGTTGATTCTTCCGGTGGGCGATTTGAAAATTGTTAACGAAACAGAGTATTCAAGAGTCGAACACATTTATCAGTCTTACCGAGAAAATCAAGAATCAAGCGTCCATCTGAGATTCTTCCGGTGGGCGATTTGAACGATGTTTGACCGTACGGCCAGATATTAGACCGAAATCTAGAGAAAGTATCGATGTAATTGTTATTTCCGGCATCGAACAGAGAATCTCCGAACACGAACAAAGCGGCTTGGTTTGTTACGAGATCGTTGTTGTCTCCGCAACTGACCGAGCGGAACGATAATATTATCGTGTAAAAAAAGAAGATGATCGACAAGAATCGAGAACTTTCCATGTTTACGGTGTTATACTTGTAAATGCTCTGTTTTGTTTATATATATAAATGCTCTGTTTTGTTCACTGATAAACAGGTGTTATTATATATATTTTTTATGCCGTAAGAATTTGACTAAAATAAGATGATTTTTGGTTGGTGAAGTTGTTCTCTCACTTTGAATTCGAACTCGAAATGCGGTTTTATTAATAAAATGTGTGAAGTTGACGAAGGCAGCCTCGTGATTTTGTGATAGATCTTCATCTACCTGCTCATTTTATGTATCATCGTCTAATCAAAAGGTATATTTTAAATTATTGTGGATTTTAATACTATCAAAAGTTACTTCATCAGTTTGTATTAAAATCTAAAATCACGTATTGTTTAAAGTTTAGCACACCTGAGCAAATGACACATCATGTGCGACGTGGAAGAAAGCTATGAACACGAGGAAGTGTTTCCTTGTGGATCACACTTGTGGTGACAAGTATTTTATCAAACATATCAACATTTTTATTTCTTTAGTTTCTTTTTTCTTTTTAAAACTATTTTTTTTGTTATATATGAAAGCAAAAAAATAAGAGATAAGGTAATTATTATACAGCCTGTTTTATTTTTACAATTATCGAAACATCTAAAATTGTAAAATCTCGGGTAGGAAACAGACAAAAGAAAACCCTAACAGATATAAGGGTCTCTTAACCTAATACCGTATATATATATATATATATGCTTGAAATCAACAATACAGATACAACCAAGAGATTTCCACGAATTTGGCAAGGTTCAGAGTAAAAAATTAGATCTTCGTTTAGGTTTCATATATCGATTTTGTTTAGCAGTTTTCAAATTCTCTTGTTCATTAATTTTTTTTAAATCACGTACCTTAACTTTTGAGTTCGTGGTAAGATGCATATTTATATGAAGAATGTGGATGGAAAAACAATGCTCAACCTAGAGGTCGATAACTCCAATTTCATCGACATTAAAATCGAGGAAGACCCAACCCGTCCAGGTCAATCTCGTCATGGTAAACTCGCGAAGATTCCTAACAAGACTTTGGGTGAAAAGATGAATATAAACCTAGAGGTGGATAGCTCCAAAATCGTCGACCTCAGGATCGGTCATGTCATGCAGATTTTTTGTAAAACTCACATGGGAAAGACCATTACGTTAACGGTGGGCAGCTTCGACACCGTCGAAAGCGTCAAGGCCAAGATCCAGGAGAAAGAGGGCATCTCGGCGGAATTACAGAGGCTCTTATTTTGCGGCCGACAGCTCGAAGACGGTCACACAACATCCAGCAGGATTCGACCCTTCACTTAATACTGCGTATGAGGTAGCGTCTATCTATCTTAAGTTACGGTATTTACATTTTTCTTTTCATTATCGTTGGGATTTTACTTGTTCGGTCTATCGCACACAAACGATTAATATTTAATATTAAGGATATTAGTTTTTACAGTAAACACTTTCCAATAGTAATTTAAAGTTTTGACTAATATATTCTCAATATATTGATAGAAACGTTCTGTGTATAGATTTTTGGCTATTTTTTATTCAAGTGGTCAAGCTGTTTATCACTTCCAGTTCAAATTCGAAATCTGGTTTTATTAAAATAAATTGTGAAATTGACGATAACCACCTCGCGTAATTACAATTTTATTTTGAATTGTGACAACAGATCATGCAAGCAGTGCCCGTCTAGGATGGATGGATTTGGCGGATAAGTGCTGGATTAAGAGGAACAGAATTTGAATCAATGTGGTATGAGTGAAAGAAAGTTATCAAAATTTGATTTCTTTTTTCAAACACTTTGGATCACCAAAATTATTTTTATTTTGATAAAACACTATTAAACATTGAAATTAGGGTTAATTTGTGATATAACCACATTACACCATAAACTAAAGAATATAACCATACTAATTTCATAATTCATTTAATAACCAAAAACTCTAACATTTATCTTTTTTACCCTTCAAACTAAATTTATAAACACATTATTATATTATACTATATCAATTTATACTACTATACTATACTATTTATAAAATGTTTATTTCATATATATTGTATAGGAAAAAAGAGAAGATGAGAGAGGACGAGGTAGGGGAGGGGAGGTAGGGGAGGGGAGGTAGGGGATGGGAGGTGAGGAGGGGAAAAGATGGGAGATGAAGGAGATGGGAAAGGGAAGAGGAGGAAGAGGAGAAAATGGTAAGGGAAAGTGAAAGGGAAGAAGAGAGAAAATAAAAGGGAAAGGAAAAAAACTAGAAGGATAAATTTGTATATATTGTAGAATATATACAAAATATCATAGCCATTATTTTTTATGGTTAGTTTGTATATTTTTAAAATTTATATGTTACTTGACCCAATTTTTCTTGAAATTAACTAGCATATTTTTCTATAACTTTTCAAGCTTTTTTTTGAAAAAAAAGTTGATTACTGTATTAAAACAAGCAGTCACGCGTAAGTGAAGTTTACCCGCAGCATGTGAAAAAAGAAACAAAAACAAAAATTCTGAGATGAAATTGTGTATCTTAGCTAAATATTGTGTGTATACACATACATAGGCGTTCCTCTCGCCCATATCACCTGCTCATTTTTATATTACTCTCTAATCAAAAGGCAATTTCAAACTGTTGTGGATATGAAATATATTAAAATTACTTCAGCACTTTCATATTTAAATCTATAATCACCTCTTGTTCCTAAAGTTTAGCACAACTGAAAAATGACACAAAATGTGCAACGTGGAAGAATGCTCAGGAGGAAACGATTTCTTGTGGATAAGTAAAAATGTAACATTAGCAACGTTTTCTATGATAACGATTATTGTAAAGTAAAAAAAAAAAGAAGATAGAATCACAACAATACGCACCAAAAAGCCATTAAAATAAATTAAGGGAATAATGAAAAATATGGTTGTTCATGCTCATTGAACAGTAAGTAATGGCACTTTTATTTGGCCCAGGGAACTGGTAAGTCAATAATATGGCAATTGTCGAAGGTCAAGACGACGTTTTCCAAAAAGGTCAAAAAGAATAAATGAAATCATCATGGGGAATTGTTAAACGAATAAATCATCCAAGCGTCTACAAAAGGATCGATCTTCTAATTTCAATTTTGTTTAAACGAATAAATCCTCCAGTTTCTCTTGTTCACTAATTTTTTTTATGTACATTCACTTTGTGTGAGTACGTGGCAAAATGAAGAGTTCTGTTAAGATTGTGGATGAAAAGACAACGATCAACCTAGAGGTCAGTAGCTCCAAGACCATCGACCTAAAAATCGATGAAGTCCCGATCCGTAGTAATATTCGACATGTTCGTCGTCATGGTGAATACATGCATATTGCTACGAAGACAGTGGATGGAAAGACGACGATGAACCTAGAGGTCAGTGGCTCCAAAACCATCGATCTAAAAATCGATGAAGTCCCCATCCGTAGTAATATTCTACGTGGTCGTCTTCATGGTGAATACTTGCATATTTCTACGAAGACAGTGGATGGAAAGACAATGATCAACCTAGAGGTCAGTAGCTCCAAAACCATCGACTTAAAAATCGATGAAGTCCCCATCCGTAGTGATATTCTACATGGTCGTCTTCATGGTGAAGACATGCATATATCTACGAATACAGTGGGTGGAAAGACGACGATGAACCTCGAGGCTGGTAGCTCCAAGACCATCGATCTCAAAATCATCGTAGACTCGACCCGTCGAGATACTCGACCCGACGTTCGCCATGGTCAAAATTCATGCAGCTTTTTGTAAAGACTTTGACACGGACCATGGATGACTCGGACACCATCAATAATAAATGTCGTCTAACTGTCTAAGTGAAAGTTTGATTTGTTTTTTCAAACACTTTGGATCACCAAAGTTATTTTTATTTTGATAAAACACTATCAAACATTGAAATTAACTCGAAGATTTTTCTATAATTTTTCAAGCGTTTTCTTTAAAATAATGTTGAATATTGTACTTAAAAACAAGCAGTCACGCGTAAGTGAAGTTTACCCGCAACATGTCAAATAAGAAACAAATGCAAAAAACCATATATGAAATTGTTTTTGTTATAAATGTGTATTCACATAAAAGTATGTGAATAGAAATATTTGTTTAGTCATCCCGCTTTTTGTCTTTGCCTGCCCGCCCCGTGCTTCCCATTCGAAATCGGCCACTAGTTACAAAGCTTCAATAAGGCGTTCCTCTCACCCATATCACCTGCTCATTTTTCCATTATTCTCTAATCAAAAAAAGTCATTTTCAAACTGTTGTGGATACCGAATTATATTGAAATTACTTCAACACTTTCATAAATGAAATCTACACCTCTCGTTCCTAAAGTTTAGCACCACTGAAAAATGACACAAAATATGCGACGTGGAAGAAAAGCTATGCTCAGGAGGAAACGATTTCTTGTGGATAAGTAAAAATGTAACATTCGCAACGTTTTTTATGAGTAAAAGAGATAATATCTTAACAATACGCACCAAAAAGCCATTAAGTTAAGGGATAGGAAAGGAAACCGAAGAGGCACCAGTTTCTTAGACGACGATTTCCCAAAAGATCAAAAGAATAAATGGAACTATCATGGGGAACTGTTAAACGAATAAATCCTCCAAACATCATGGGGAACTGTTAAAACGAATAAATCCTCCAAACGTCTACAAAATGATCGATCTTCTTATAGCAAATTTAACATTTTCCAATTTCTCTTGTGCACTAATTTTTTTTATAACTTGTGTAAGTACGTGGCGAAATGCAGAGCTCTATTAAGATTGTGGATGGGAAGACAACGATCAACCTAGAGGTCAGTAGCTCCAAGACCATCGACCTAAAAATCGATGAAGTCCCGATCCGTAGTAATATTCGACATGTTCGTCGTCATGGTGAAGACATGCATATATCTACGAAGACAGTGGATGGGAAGACGACGATGAACCTAGAGGCTGGTAGCTCCAAGACCATCGACCTCAAAATCATCGAAGACTCGACCCCTCGAAATACTCGACCCGACGTTCGTCATGGTAAAATCAAGCAGATTTTCGTAAAGACTTTGACAGGGAAGACCATCACCTTAGAAGTGGAAGACTCGGACACCATCGATAACGTGAAGGCCAAGATCCAGGATAAAGAGGGTATTCCGCCGGACCAGCAGAGGCTGATCTTCGCTGGCAAACAGCTTGAGGATGGTCGCACATTGGGCGATTACAACATCAAGAAGGACTCGACCATTCACTTGGTACTGCGTCTCTAAGGCTTGGCGGCTAAATTGGTGTTTTATGTTCGAATCTTTATTTTCTTGCAAGACAATGGTAACTAGTGGAGTTTAATGTCAAAGCTTTTTGTGTCTATTTTTCTTTTAAGTTTTTTTTTGTGTCTCCGCTTTTCTTAGTTATCTTTCTGATTTGTACGTTATCTCACCAGTTCTTGTCTGCGTTGATTTGGTTGAAATTTGAAAACAATGGGTAATGTTTTTTTTCATTTCCTTTAATTTTCTCGTTTAGGGTCCATAATGCCGGGTATGTCTCCCATAACTCGTTAGGGATATATAAATTAAAATTGAATGTAAACCTCTAAATGAAAGAGATGTCCTTTGTTGAACGGTATATAGTTAAACTGAATGTAAAGCACACGATCTCGGGTAAATGAAAAGTAAAAAAAAAAACGATCGAAGTATATTGTTTTGATCTTTGGAACCATTAATGAACAAACAATGGTTGAGGAAAAGAATAAAATATCAATGTCTATAATTAGTGTCATACATACAAATTAAGGAATCTGAAATAGTTTGTTGACATTGTATGGGCCAACCACTAGAGAATCTGACATGTGCCCACCATTCCAAATTAGGTTTGCAAATTGCTTATAAGTATTTTGGGTGAGATGAAGTGAATCCCAGAAAATATAATCATTAGGATTCTCACATAATTTATATTCCTTCACAAGTCTCTTCCCTCCACAGCTGAATACTCCTCTCCACTTCCCTGTTCCACAACATGCTTCTTCCCCTTCTTTAAACCCTTTTAATAATCACAAATATGATGTAAGATTATATATGAAGATGTAGTTTAGATATGTGTCATTTTGTGAATATTCTAAGTGTGTCCAAAATTTGAAAAAGCTCACCAAATTTAGAAGGATGGTGCATTCTGAGTCTAAGGCTTTTGTTCATGTCAAAGAGGGAGAACTTGAAGCCCTTGACTTGTCTTTGCATCTTAAACAAAAGATTTGAAAGAGCTTTGTTATGCATTTCTGCTAATTTCGAAGCATCTCTTAAGCAAGAATCATTCTTTGGTTGTAGTATTCGTAAAGCCGGAAAACAACCCAAATTCGGGACATTCAAGAACCCGAACTTCCTTCCTCCAATCTTGTATACTTCCTGTTATACAAAACCCATATAACCAAAAACAATGATGAACAATATGAGGTTTATCTGATGATGGTGGTGGTGGACTTGGTGGTTGTAATGATGGTGAACTTACATGAATAAATGTAGTCAAATTACCAATGACAATGTCAACATGTTGAGACATTGAAATGGAAAGAGATTGATTAGTCAAGAAATGGCTTGAGTAGTCATTGGACCCGATGCTTATCAAATAGACAGCTCTTGAGATCCTTTTCTTGCTTTCTTCTTTACCAAATTTTCTCCTCCACAATCTCTCCACTTTGTTGTAGTGATCCAATTGTGTGCTCAAACTTATCACCTTGAAAATAATTGTTAGGAATCGGTCACCACATTGATTAACATGGAATAATACAATCTCACCTAACCTTAAGATATAAAATTTAGTTGTCCTAATTAAGTAAGTGGATGCTACATATTTTTTAATTTAATATTAAAGGAATTTTATTATATAGCTAAATAAAGCATGTAAAAATACAAAAAAAATCGTAGGTGGGACCAAAAGATTTACATTTTAAAGAACGATTGTTCAACTAATTTAGCCATAATAATCGGGTCAAAACTCAAAACCCACTGATACATTGTATCATAACGAAGTTCCATATTCTAAAATATATTAAAAAATTAACTTCAATCAAATTTCTAGATCAATCAATCACAACGAACTTCCATGTGCCGTGTGTGTACGATAAATAGATGATATGCAATAATGCAATGCAAACTATTGAAAAAAATCTAAGAAATTCTAAGTAAAAAAAAGAAAAGATAAACCACATACGTACCGAACCTTGGAACGTTTCTACAAGAGCACCAGCTCCAGCAGATGCAAAGTTGACGCCGTAAAGCTTCTTTTGACTATCTCCCGGTTCCAAAAACGGCGGAATTAACGGCAAATTCGCATATTCCGCTATCATTAACGTACAGTTCCGTCAATATAATACTATATTTTAAATAACCACGAGGTAATATAATAACAATAAATGTATAAAAATCATTTTTCTTTGTTAAAAGAAATACTCCTCACCGATGAAATCGGAGATGAGACGGCCGTCAGAGAATCTTCCGGTGGGGAGGCCAAAGAATGTTTGACCATAAGGTGGAAAATTAGCTTGGTCAAGTGTAGTGGTCTTTATGTAATTATTGTTACCTGCATCCAAGAACGAGTCTCCGAAGATGAACAAAGCCGTCACATTATTATTGTCACCGTCGTGAGAAATTTTTGCTACAGATTCTCCAGCGAGAAAGAGAATGCTTAAAGAGAAGAGAAAGAAGAAGAAAGAGGAGATAGTTCTTCTTGTGACCTTCTCCATTAATGTTGACTCTCTCATCCACCGCAAAAATCTCTAAAGATTCGTGTTTGTGTTTGTGTTTGTGTTTGCGTTTGCGTTTGTGTGCATATATATAGACCAAATGATATGCTTTTTTAGTCTAACTTGTAGACATGTCGACAAGACTATGTATATATTTTATATTATAAAAAAGTGTGTGTCCACATTTATATACAAAATGACTGTTTAAAGAAGTCAAATGTTTGGGTCTTTTTTAACTCCAAATAGTTCGTTTAGTATTATAATATTACTATTAATTAGTTAATGGTAAGATAATTCATTTTCTTCACATTACTAGGAGAAAACACAATGTTGATTAGTAAACCCTATATTAAAAAAAAAAAAAAAAAAACACATGTTGATTATGTATATACTTTAATTATCACTCATGCAACACCATGTTAGAGTTTTGATAGTAACACAATGACAATAGTAATAAGAAAACTGAAAGTACCAACCATATATGGCTATAAAAACACGTAGATATAATATATGTGTTTGTGTGCATATATTATTTATATTAAATAAAAAAAGAATATACATGTATACTTTGAACTTGTCAAAAAAAAAATATATATACTTTGAACATTTAGTGAAAAACAAATATGTACACATTTATACAGATGGGTGAAAATGACGGAAAGAAGGAGAAGAGTCCAGAAGAGTGATTTAACTTTGTTTGTGTCACGAGAAAGTCACAAACTCACCAGTTACCCACTTGCAGAGAAAGTGCAAACCTTTAGATTCTTCTGTCCTTTTAACGACGTCGTTTGTTGTTTTTCCCTCTAGATTCATTGTATGAAAAAGTAACAAAAGTGGCTCTTTCTTCTAGGCAATCAATGTGATAAACACACGCGATCTAATTTACGATTTCCGGTCCTTGTTTTTTCCTCCGGTTCGACTCGTACCGGTCCTTAGTAGCATCGAGACATAAAACAGAGGAGAGATTTCACATATTATGAGTTTATGACAATGTCAAAAGTAACAAACACACAAAGCACAAAAGATTCAGTAAAAGAGAGTTCAAAATATTTTGAAACAAAAAGTGCAGAAACTCCTAAAATTAAGCCTCTAATTAAAAGAGGCTTATGGCTCTTGCAATGCAGACAAGCTTCAGGTGTCTTATAATCCAACAGCAACTCCTGAGAGAGACAAAGACAGCAAGAAGATGAAAGTAACAGAGTTTTACTGGAGATTGATGATGATGATGATGATGATGATGCGGGGAAACTCACTAACATGCAGGACTTATTTACATGAAAATGGATCTCTTTCAAAAGACTCCTCCAATCATGGATTCGATCTCATCGATGGTCCATAGATCCATAGGGTTTTCACCATTGTCCTGAGTCGCCACAGCATCTCCGTTGAGGAAATCAAGTGAAGGGTCCCATTCAACGTTGTTGTAAGGTGCCTCAAAATCCATGGACTTGAGCTTCTTAGCTGGATTAGCTTCCTCGACGAACAGACCAGAGTTGTTGTTGTTGTTGATAAACGCAGAAGAGATCTCAGGGGTTATCGGAGCTTGGTCGCTCCAACCAAACTCAGAACAGTCGAATGAGTTACTACCCTGGTCCGAGCTGAAATACTGCTGATACCCATTACCTCCAGCATCAACGGAGCTTGTCAACCCAAACTGATTGTTGTTGTTGCTGTTCACTTGGTGTTTCTCCTCCATGAAACACATGTTGTCAAAGGAGTTGTCGAAGTCCTGAACCAAAGCTGGACTCGGGTTTGGGTTTGGTTTAGCGACCGGTTTCTGAGGACTGGCCTTGGCAGGGCGTCTCTGAGGGTTTTCCTCCGGGAAATTGACCTTAGCTTTGGATCCACGGATCCTTCTTGCTGCAGCATCGTAAGCTCTCGCAGCTTCCTCAGCTGTCTTGAAAGTCCCAAGCCAGATTCTTGCACCTTCCCTTGGATCACGGATCTCTGCAGCCCATTTGCCCCAAGGGCGTTGCCTTATCCCTCTGTACTGATTCTTCCTCTTCCTCTTTGCAGATTTCTCAGCTTGTCCATTAAAGTCGGCAACTTTCTTGCCCAAAGCTGAATCTGATGGTGGAAATAACAACAAACAAAAAGAGTTCTTAAGTCAAATCAATTTCATCACACGAATCAGGAGGCTTCGTATCATAAGCAGAACGATATCCAACAACAGATGATTCCAAAGAATAAAAAATTGTTACAGAGAAGAAACTCAGAAGCTATGAACGATATCCAAGAACAGGTGATTCCAAAGAATAAAACTTTTAAGAGAGATTACTCAGAAGCTATGAAATGATCATTTTAGCTCATAAACAACAAGGTCAAACTAATTTCTAAAGAGCTGAGAAATCTGAAACTTCAATTTCACACCAAAGCAACCATATTCAAATACAACGAACATGGCTAATCGAATCGGAAATTTAATTTCTGCCTAATTCAATTCAATCTCTCCAAAGTAAAGCTAGAAGCGGATTATTTACCGGCGGCGGCGGACGAGACGACGGGTTTGGGTTTCGGGGTCGCGGTGAAAACAAACGGTTTCACATCGGCGAAGACGTCATCGAAATCATCATCGCAATCGATGGATGCGTCATCCTTGAAACCTTGGAAGTCAGCCTCGAACTCATCGTCAAGGTCAAAGAAACTCGAACGCTTCTTCGAGCTCTTCTTCAATCCCTTCACATTCTTCTTCAGATCCGGCCAGATGAATTCGCTGGTAACGCGGCGAGATGTCGGCGGCGGAACGAAGTCGGAGATTATAGCTCCTCCACACATGGCGGCTCACACAAGCGTGACTCTTGACGGTGTAAAATGTTCAGAAACAGAATCTTAGCGGCGAAATGTAAAATAAATGATTCTTTGGGGGTTTATCTTTTCTTTTCCTCTCTCTCTCTCTCTCTTTCAGCACTTTGCTTTGTTCATCAGAAAAATGGAAGATAAAGGGCTTTTTAGCTTAAGAGGAACAATTTATTATTAAATTTCCTAAACTTGAAATGTTATTTACGATACTACCCTTCTACTTTACATTCATTAACTTTAGATTTACTTCTGTAGATTAAGCAAGTAAATTAGGATTAAATTTAGTCCTATTTGACTGCTGGTAGAAAAAAAGTCTAAACCATTTCATACCTAACGTTTGCTGAATTTTTACATAAGGTCTTAATTCCTTTTACTTTATTGTACGATTTTAAGTCATATCAAACTTTAAAGTAAGTTTGAATATAACGAAAATTCATTTTATCTTTTGATTAGTTAGTTTATTTTAATTATTACGATATATAATATAATGATCATTTTCAAATATATAAAAGGGTTACAATTTCCCTTTCTTAATGATGTCATTTTTGATTAATCTAAAGGTGTGTTTAAGTTTATGATTTTTTAATGTAAAAAGTATATCTATTATTTTAAATTAGAATATAGGTTTAAGATTTTTTGTCTTTTGAATAATTTTTTTCATAATTAATTATTTATATAATAATAAAAAGGTAAAATAGTAAGCAAAAAAGAAAAGAGATGGCATTCATGTACTTGGTTGACAAACTTGTGGCCTTCCAAATAGTAATAAACTTAACCACTTGACCCCTAATTAAGTAAGTAGCAAACTATTTTCCAAAATAATATAAGATTTTATATTAAACATCTCTGAATATATATTCATTTTTTCTTGTGATTACTGATCCCTTATATATTAAAAGAGAAGCATTTTTAAAAAATAACCTTATTTTTGTAAGTATTTACAGTAGTGCAATTATGCTGATGTGTCAACTCCACATTCATTGTGAGCTAATTTTTTAAAAAAACCTTAGATTACTAGACTAATTACATGATATGTCATTGTGTATTTTAGATCCATAAATATGTTATGTCTAATTTTTAAATCAGCATTTAATTTATAAGATATTCTCTTTCTTTTATTTCTTACCAAAAATATATCATATTAATTATTTCTTTAATTACATTTCTACCAAAAAAATTTTTTATCTTATTTTCATTCAAACTTATACATCATTTATATAATAAAAAGTATATAGATTTTTTATACATGTATTATAATTTGAATTTTAAAAATTGAATATAAATTACTCAGATTATTAATAAATAAACATAAATTATTATAATTTGAGTTCATTATAATCATTATAAAAGTTGATTGTAATTTGAGTTCATTATAATCATTATAAATAAAAGTAAATAATTATAATTTGTTTAATTGACTTTTTCCAAAAGTAAATTTTCAATTAGCTCATAATTTAGACTCTTTCCAAAATTTAGTATACAATAAATAATATTTAATATTTAATATAATATAATTATGAGGTAATTGATAATTTATTAACAAATAAACATAAATTATTATAATTTGAGTTCATTATAATCATTATAAAAGTTGATTGTAATTTGAGTTCATTATAATCATTATAAATAAAAGTAAATAATTATAATTCGATTTAATTGACTTTTTCCAAAAGTAAATTTTCAATTAGCTCATAATTTAGACTCTTTCCTAAATTTAGTATACAATAAATAATATTTAATATTTAATATAATATAATTATGAGGTAATTGAGAATTTATTAATAATTTGAATGGAAATAATTTTTATTGTGTTTGATATATATTAATAATATGATTAATTTAATTTATCGCATTCACTAATCTAATTTAGATATAAGTAATATATTAATTCAAATTTATTTTGTTAATTTAGATATATATATTTAAAAATTTTGAATATAAAGGATAGTGACACTTTTGTCTAATAAGTCATCAGTATTTAAAACTTATTTAGAGTAAAAATATATATGAAATGGATAAACATCAATATTTTTATAGAAGCTAATTATAAAAATAATTATTTGTCACATTATTTTTATATAATCAATCATAGCAAGAACGCATCAAAACTCTAACCATGTTACATCTTAAATTTTATCATGTATACACTATACTCCCAACTTACTATTTATCATATATTCAATTATGCTTTATTATTATATTTTAGATAATATTTTTTAATTAAAAGAGTTTAAAGTCAATAATTATTCTTTTCTTTTACAAAGAGATAATTTATAGATATAATTTTTGTTTTTCAAATTAAAAATATAAAATTTGTGTCTTTTTTATAATTCATTTGATATAGTAGATAAGTAACAAATTATTTAAATAATAATATTTAATTATTATTTAAGAGTCAAAAGTAATTAAATATATACATAAATATTATATATCTAAATCTTATAGAAAATTTATATAGCGACTTCGTATTTCTATCCAGCTATATCATATGTTATGCATAATATTTTACTTTTAAATTAATTTATATGATAATTAAATTACTCTATATGTTATAGAAAATATATTGTCAATGTTATAATATAATATTATATGAAATTCATATAAATATAATTATATTTTATTATATTATATGATTTTAAAATTATATTAAATTTAAATAAATAATAATTATTTCATCACGCACAGGGTGTGAGTTATTACCTAGTTATCATTTAAAAGTTATACAAAAACACAAGTATATATTATTGTAATACTTTCTCTTGATATTCATTAGCCAATTTTTAGCAAAAAATACTTACTATTTCCCCTTAGTATGAATCACATTTGTTAATTTGAAAACTAATTACTACGAAAAAGTAGAAAATGAATTAATGAAAAGGTTTTAATAGAAAAATAAAATAAATAAATTATTGAAAATGTCATGATAGCATACTAAGACTCGCCAATGTAACTTGATTACATGCGAGGACCTTTAAGATCTAAATGCATAGGACTAAAGTTATAATAGCACTAAAGAACATTTACGAATATAAGTGTGCAGGACACGTACGTTTTAAGCTTTTGAGCAAACTAGGGATGTTTCCGCGCTACGCGCGGACTGTTTTTATATAGATATTTGATTATTATTTAAGTTTTATTATTTTCACTTTAAGTTAATATTTTAAATATAATATTTAATTTTTAAAATTGTTTTGATATGATTATACATCAAAAATATTTTAACATATTCAAAAAATGTATCATGATATAATTTTAAGAATTACCTACTTGATATATGCTAAAATTAACTGTTAATCTAAAACTTAATATTTGTATATAAACTCACTGTTATTCACTACTAACTTTCAAAATATTATTAAATTTTTTTTTGTTTTGACTAAATTTGATTATTATTATTCCAATTAATTTAGATTTTTATTTTTATTTCAACTGTGTTCGTGTAGTGTTTTTATTTAATTAGCAATCTCAAATACAAACAACACTCAATGTTCTAATCTCTTATAAATCTATAAAATAACTTTGATTCATATAAATAAAAACAATATTTACATAGTATAAAAAATCACAATCATATTGATAAAATGTAATTTTGATTTGGTCTATGAAGTATACGTAAACTATAAAAAATATAGATGAATAAGGCAAGTAATACATATACAAATACAATTTCATACTAACTCATTATGTTAAATAAAGTATGTTGAGTTTCTCAAAACTCAAAAGATGTAAAAAATTTTGCTTGTAACTTAACTTAAACATTTTTTTATTAAACTACACATATATATTTTGATAAGCCTTTATAATTAAACTAATAATATATATTATATTATTTTTAAAAGAGTTTCTTAACCCAGGAAAAAAAACCATATTATTTTTTCATTCAAGTTGGGTTTATAAGGAATTTTGTTGATGTGGATAATTAAAGATTTTTTTAGACATTTTCTTCTACATAAAAATGTGTATGTTATTTTTTCAAAAATGCATTATTATTTAATTTAAGAATTTACTAACTTGATATATATAAAAATTAACTGTCATCTAAAACTTAATTTTTGTTTATAAACTGTTTAACTCATGTGTTGACATGTATAGTTTGTAGTAACTTGACTACCTTAAGCCAACTAAGACACACATTGAATAAATATCAGTGCATAAAATTCTTCTTTTGTCTATCATTTTCTACAATGTAAATAGTAACAATGATCGAAATCTTCATATAGATAGATGCTTTGAAAAACTTCTTGTCTTGTTGGTTGCCATAATCTAACGTACTATGATGTTTAATCTGTATGTTTCTAAAAAGTGAATGTTTTAGATTTTTATAATTTGTAAATGTTTAAATTTTATTTTAGAAATTATCATTTTGTAATCTTGTTTCTATTAACTATTATTTAAGTTTTTAGAGCAATTTGTTGTCTAATATATTCACTATATTACAAAAAGGAGTATATATTAATGCTACAGATTTAAATGATATTTATTTTACTGATTTAGAAAATGATATTTAGTTTTATTTACTTATTCCTAATAATTATATTAACTTAGTGGTTCTATTTATTTATTTTATGTGTATTTCAAAAGATATAAAGTGAATTTTTTTTATTATTGTTATATTACAAACAAAAGAAGTATATATTGATGCTATAAATTTAAATGATGTTTATTTTACTGATTCAAAAAATGATATTTTAATTTTATTTATTTTTGTTGGTAACTATATTAATTTTAGTGACAAAAATAAGTATATATTAATGCTACAGATTTAAATGATATTTATTTTACTGATTAAAATGATATATGGTTTTATTTAGTTTTTGCTAATAACTATATTAATTTAATGGTTCTATTTATTTATTTTATGTGTATTTCAAAAAATCTAAAGTGAGAATTTTCATTATTGTTAATTTGTTATATTACAAACAAAAGAGTATATATTGATGCTATAGATTTAAATAATATTTATTTTACTGATTCAAAAAATAATAATTTATTTTTATTTACTCTTGTATTTAACTATATTAATTTTGGTTCTATTTATTTACTTTATGTGTATTTCAAAAAAATCTAAAGTGGGAATTTGTATTATTATTTTTTGCTGATATGTCATATTTTTAGAATAGTTTGAAAAGCTGAGGTGGATAGCTTAAGGAGCTCCAAATAGTTCCTTTTATTTTTTTGCTAATAACTATATTAATTTAATGGTTCTATTTATTGATTTTATGTGTATTTCAAAAAATCTAAAGTGAGAATTTTCATTATTGTTAATTTGTTATATTACAAACAAAAGAGTATATATTGATGATATAGATTTAAATAATATTTATTTTACTGATTCAAAAAATAATAATTTATTTTTATTTACTCTTGTATTTAACTATATTAATTTTGGTTCTATTTATTTACTTTATGTGTATTTCAAAAAAAATCTAAAGTGGAAATTTGTATTATTATTTTTTGCTGATGTGTCATATTTTTAGAATAGTTTGAAAAGTTGAAGTGGATAGCTTAAGGAGCCCCAAATAGTTCCTTTTATTTAGTATAAATTGATAGGATTAGCTTTTTATGACAAACTTTCTGTCGTCTTATGATTAATAAAAATTAACAATCCTTTGAGTTGATGATGCATTCTAACTTCTAAGTTATCTATTTTCTTAAATTCAATTTAAAACTCCCTTAATAATTCGCTCACTCAATTTATTAGGTCAAATTATATTATTCCGTGCATATTTATATTTTTCTATATAATTATGATTACGTCTTTTATATAATGCATAAACGATTGATGGCATTTAATAAATTCCGCTAAGCTTTTTTATAGGAGTAAAATATTAATGTCATTGCATCAGTTGAATCAGCAGTTTTACATAATCATGGAGCAATAAAAATTTGACAGTCTGAATAAATGAAAACCAATATCGTAAGCAATTTAGCTTTCATTAGCTAGCCGATCATCACACGTGTTCTCATCTCGCTTTAGTAAACGCAATTTTTTTTTATAAAATGAATGCAAATTTTCACGGCCTGATATATATAAACCTTTATCCAATTACCAACCAGGTTTATGAAACTGAATACTCTACTTTATTTATACATTTTATTACAAAGAATCCGATGGGGCCATCTTTCATAGTTTGTTTCTCTGTAAACACATACGTTTATTTGTGAATATTAAACAAACATGTATAATGTATACTGTATAGTTGTACTGCGTATATATACAATCATTTATATAGGTGTCCGTTCGTATATATAATTTATTATCCAAAAAAGTACTTTGATATATATTAATTATTTATATAGAAAGATCAAATTGAGAACGCAAAGACAGGCATGGTAGGGTCAGAATCTTTTTCCCGGATTGAGACAAGTTCCTAAATTAGCTTATCTCAAAGAAACAGAAGATACTGTTTGTAATATATGGTGCAATTAGCCAGTTAGTATTATTTTGTTTTATGGTGCAATTATTTGTTTCACTATTTACTTTTAATAATTGAGGGTAATGAATGTTATAAAAAAAATACCATTTTATCTTTAAATAGAATCAAATCAATGAATGTTAAAAAAAAAAAAAAAAAATAGAACCAAATCAGTTCTCTTATAAAACTTTTAAAATGCTTCTCAATAATCAACCTTGCATACAACTTAACTGTCTTGGGCCAAACAGCTTATCTAGTGGGCTTAACAAAGTTGGGCTTGGATTTAGTTCTCATTAATCAAACTTGCGTTTAGTTTTACGTTATTGGGCTTTTAAATTGGGCCGAGACTCTACATCTGTTCTTCTTTGAATGACACCCTAAATAAGTTGACCTAACTATAAAAGCGGCCCAATTTAAAAAGTTGACCTATAATAATTCCAACTTAATTGGGGAGTATTATTAATACGCTATATTGTAAGACAGATCCCAAAAGTCAGTACATATTCAACACGTGTCTAAATCAGCTGTTCATATCTTCAGAACAAAGTTTGTCTATGTCCATACATAAACAAATATCTCCATGTATAAAAAAACAAATCGAATCAAAAAGATTTTCCACTAAAAAAGTCTATTTTATTCAGTTCATATCAGTCATGCTGAGATCCAATCTGAATATGATATTGAATAATCATACGTACATTGGTTATGAGTTGTGATATCATATGACAGTTAAGAAAATAGATTCTCTCACTAAACAAAGATTAACTGCAAAACATCTGATAACTTTAATGTTTTTTTATTCAATCAGTAGTTATCCATTCCCAATCCCACCTAAGATCACCATATATATTAAAAACATTTGACAATGGAGATACAATTTAATTAACATGACTCTTCTATATATTATAGTATGTACTAATAAGGTGTTTAAACAAACAAAAAACTATAATTACTAATTACTGAAGTGGATGATTGCATTAAGGGACTATAAATAGCTGGCGTCGCCGCCGGAGATCATCCAACAAAATCCGATTCTCGCTTTTTCCGGCGCCGGAGTTACAGCGTTTGTAAGAAGCCAACATCATCTTCGTTGAAGCCTCTAATTCCTTCTTCTCATCGATCAAAATCTGACTTTCTCTACACTCTCTGCTACAAAATCCCAAGTCCCCTCTGTTTTCACCACATAAATGAAAGAACAATTGAGATTCAAAAGACAAATCTTTATATTATAATTCGTTTTCATAATCTGATCAATCATGGAAAAAGTTTGTACCTGTACATGTAAACATCTTTGTCTTCACGGAGCTGTTTCAGACAGAGATGACATGTTTTGAGGAAACAGAGCTCCGAGATGTTTGGATTAGATCGGTTTGGTCTCAATGAAGATTTTATCACTATGTTGTTTAGTTTCTCTTTTGAATCTGTTGTCACAAGTTGCAATCCAACAGAGATTTTAGTCATTTTCTTTATCTCTGGGATTAAGAATTGAAAATCTAAGTGTAGAGAGAGAGAGAGAGAGATGAAGTGGAACTTAGACGAAGGAGAATCTGGGAATATATAAAAGAGGAACTTTAACTGTGCTGTTTGTGGAGTGATGTGTCTTTCATGTCTCAATTAAAATGTGGGATTTGACCCTTTTTTTTCGACATCGACCTTTTTTCTTGTCGGAAATTACTACTTTTACTATCCATGTTTTTTTAATAAGAAAGTACAATATGTTCTCAGCAAATATATTTCAATCAATTAACAAAAAAACACTTAATTAAACTGAAAAATACGGCAATAGTAAATCTAGTTCTTAGATTTCCTGAAATTCTGAAAAATTGCAGGTTTTGGTGTTGATATCATATTTGGGTTTTAGTTACATTATTTCTGTTTTAGTTGTGGATTTTGCATCCTGAGAAATTTTCTTTTTCACCGGCTTTGTTTCTAGCAATTTTTTTTTTTTTTTGCTGGTTTAGTTTGCGGAGACATTTCATTGTTATGCTGGTTTTGGTTTACATCCTTGTATATTATCTTGTATTATATCTTATATTTTTCTTTTGTTTAATATTAACAGATGATAAAAGAAAAACTGAAAAATACAAACACTTTGCCATCCTCGGTGTTTTTGAGAATATTTTTGTTATTTTCAAATTTGTTTGTAAAACATCCAACATTCCAGAATATTTTATCTTTTTTCACGTTCACTAATGTTTTTTTTTAAATACTTTAGCTCGATTACTAAAAACCCAAAACATGAAGTGGTAATTTCAAGAAAACGTGTTTTGTGATGCTAGCCGTTAGCTTACCAGTAACTTACGACCGAGCATTAAAATAATAATTAACATATTTTAATTCTGTCACGTTTCACATGCATTCATTTTCAAGACATCATATCATATAATAATGTTTTATGTGTACACATACATGAACATTAAACATTATAGGCCATCCATCACTTCGCTACAATAATTGTAACTTTTCAATAACATCCATCCTGTATAACTTCTAAGCTAAGAACCTAACAGACTTTTTTTGAAAAAATACACTTTTTTAATAAAATCAGAAAACCCCATTATAAAAAGTAGCAATTCAATAAACAATTTATTAGTCCTCAACTATGATGATTGTGAGTCTGCAGCATTGCAAGTTCTGAAAAGTCTTTACTTGTTTTTAAGCTGATGTAATGTACACCATGAACTTTGTTTATGAACGCAATCTCTAATCAAGAAATAAAATCATAATTATAGAATATTATACTATTAAGACCTGAGAGCGAAATTATGAGTAAATTTTACAAGTCACACTCTCTCTCCCACCAAAACCTTCTGCATAAGCAGTACAAACAGAGAATCTATGTCTGTGTTAGCAATGTTGTTTTTTATTTTATTTTTATACAAAGAAATGAAAGTTTTTCAGACAAGCTTTTAGGCTGAATAAGAAGAAGACAGCTTTAGTTACAAGTAAAGCTGAATTAGCTCATCACTTACTACAGATGGAGTGAGAACACCAAGATCAGTGAAGAGCAGAGTCAAGTACTGAGGAGGAGTGTAGTCTCTCGCAGATCTTTCTACCTCAACCTTTGGAGGAACAGGAACATCGAAATCAATAGGTCGCAAGGCCGGTTCCAAGTCCTTTTGATCCAACGGGTAGAGTCGTGCAAACTGCAAGATAAAAAAACAAAATTAGATGATGAATCACAGTGTTTCTTGCAACCACATTTGAAAAGCTTAAAAAGTTTTTTGAGTGTTTTATAACTACCTTGTAACTCTCTGCAGCTACATAGACTGGTTTGTTCATACTGTGTGCGACGAGTGCGATTTGGTAAGTACCCATCATGTTAATCACCCCGCCACTTTCAACAACTCCGTCGGCTCCAAAAAACACCATGTCTACTTCATCCATGCTATAGGCCACGGCCGAATCAATCAGAAGCTTCACCGGAACATCAAGCTTCGCAAGCTCGTTAGCTAGCAGTACTCCTGTTTTATCTGGCCTTCCCTCTGCGGATGTGTGATTTTTTGGTTAGGAAAATCCAAATGAGATCGATCTCAAATCTCAAAAGTTTAAAGAAAGAGCACCTGTGCACAGAACTCGAAAGAGTTTCTTGTTTTGAGCTGCTGTCTTTAATATTTCGAACACAACTCTGGAGAATCCATGGACCAGTATCGTACAGCCATCAAATATGAAATCTTGACTAAGCATTGCAATGATCTTTCGTGCCTGCAAAACGAAATGCATCACCGTTCAAACTCTTCTTCTACTTACTAATATATCTCTACATGTGTACGCGATTTCCATCTATGAAAAATGACTGACCTTGCAAGATATTTCCCCAAACTTCTCGGCGCGTTCAAGCACACGGGACTTCGCTGAGTTGAAATCCTCAAATTCTAAGGCAGATGTTCGAGTCACGTAACGCATGAACAGATCACATCCTGCTGTTAAAGATATCGAAGTTGTGTCCCACGACTGAAAAGCGAAGGCAATCTTACGTTTTTAGACTTCTACAGTGACAATAATCGAAAGGTACTACAAGTCGAGAATGACTCAGATAACACAACTTAACATCAGAAGAACTAACCAATCGATTCATAGAAAATGTAAACTGCGACAATCAAGATAACATTTTTCTTACTTCTCTTGCCCATAACGACTAAGAATCTTTCAAATGCAATGCCAAGTCGCATTCACAACTCTACAAGTAAATGCGATGCTACGATCACATCAACCATATGAAGCAAAATACTCAAAAGATAAGTCGCAAATTAATAGCATATTCGTTAAAGATTGAATCCAAAACGAACAAAGAAGAAATTCAAATACTGAACCCAGAAATTCTCAAGACAAAGAAGAAAGACGCTTACTTTCAAGGAATCAGAAGCTTTCTTGAGTTCGATTTCGAGTTCCATCATAGTAGTCGCTTCGCTAGCCCTAATAACCGCCGCAAGGGCACGAATCGCCGCAACAGCCTCCGCCAAATCGGGCTGCTGCCTCCAGCTGTTAAATTCCTCAATCACGCTGAAGGGTCTTCCCGCGACGGGAGAAACCGAGTAATCCTTGTCCGGGTAGCGACGAACGGCGGCTTGCGCCTGTTCCAGCCAATCGCTGGTCACGATCCCGTGGTGCGCCGCTCGGGTTTGGTAGTAAGCCGAAATAGGATTAGGGTTAGGGTTTTCATCCGCCATTGAAGCAGATGGTGGAGGAGGGGAATCGATCGACGGAGTAAGAGAGATGGGTGTATTGTTCTGATGTTTATCGAGCACGAACGAAGTCGATCTTCTCCACATTTTTGTGTCAAATCTTCGAAATCACAATTTGAAGCAAAGAGATTTTGGGGGTTTATGCTTGTAATGACGTTTTAACTCATCTGAAAACATAATTAACAATAATAATATCACATCGCTACCTGAATATTTGTATATTCGCATTTACTACCCTAAACTTACAAAATAATTCAGTTTCACCCCTACAATTTACATTTCAGAAGACTATAAGCTATAACGATACCCATTATGAAAGAGTGGTCCACTTCTGGCTCCACCATCATCGTCAAAACGTCTTCTCCATAATCCAAACCGTTAATATTCGATTGCTTCTTTTTAACTTCCGCCACTAATCTTCCCGATCCATCCTCGACCGTGAAAACCGAACCGCGGTTTACAATCTTGTAACAAGATTGTTGTGTATCATCTCGGCTCGATCCCATTACAACTTTGTAAGACGAAGACGAACCACTTGGCGAAATCTTGAAATTCTTTCTTAGTCGAAATCTTGTTCCCGTTGAGTTATATCCTTCCAGAGATTTGAATAATCCCAGTTTCTATAATACACATAACAATAAGTTAGTCTCGAAATTAAGTTGTTTATTAAAATTTATTATGATTTCATGTATAGAGAGGAAATGATTATTACCTTTTGACGTAATGTATACAAGATTTCTCCGTATAAATCCATAAGGTAAACTTCACTGCAACTCTTGGAATCATAATTATCCACTCGATAGATTAAGTTCCCTTTGGAATCAAAAACCGTGCAGCCTTTGGTATGGAACACAAGAGATCTCATCCAAATCGTGAAACTCTTTTGCTCCGTCGTCATGTACAGCGAACTCTTGTCTTCTCCGGCGCTGGAGTCCACCGGTAATGCTTGATCAGGATGAATCTTCACCATGTTCTTCGCTGGACAAATCCAGATACGGTCGTTGCTAAGTATTTGCATATATTGCAAAAAAAAACTTTATATTTAGCACCGATTGGTAGTATACGTCCTCTTCGTATTTATATGAAATAATTCAGTCTCTGATTATAATAAAAAAGGATTTATACGAAGGTCTTACATCCACATGTTCAATGTGAGATAAGAACAATAATATGGAAAAAATATATATATTTAACGACGTTAACTATTTTTAAATGCTATAAATACACCGTATATATACATGAAATGGTCGACAAAACAAAAAACAAAATACATGTAAGGTCGTTGTCACGTGGATAATGTGAGATCCGAATAATAGAGAAATACACATACAATACAAATATACAATAGTGATGTAGTTTCAACTTTCAATTATTAGTTTTTTTTTAATGTTAGAATAATTAGTTGAGAGGCGGTCTCTGATTTTGGTTCATTGGATGATAGGATTTGCATTCTCCTCGCTGGTTATTGCTGACAGTTTCTTGGAATTATACTGTACAAGAACAGTTATGACTAGTAGTTCTTCAAATCTGTTTGTTTATTAAATAATATCTTAAAAAATAGTGGTTTAGTTTTTGTCTCTCTCTCTTTGCAAATAATTTTGTTAGACATCATTTTTATTTGGGAAAAATGTATAAAAAACTCTGAAAATAGCACACAGAGACACTTTAAACCTCAAATGTATTTTATTAACACTTTAAACTTTCAATTAAATTTTATTAACAGAAAAAATCTTCTAAATGGCTTCTAATTTTGCAATCCCAAAAATTTGGACGAAATAGCAAACTCTGTTAACAAAAAATCTTTCGATTTTACGATTTTTCGACGTGACTCACTAGAAATTAAGAAACTAAAATTATAATCGATCTAAAAATAGTACGATTAAACAGAAATTTAGACAAAATAGTAAATTTGGAACAGCTATTAATCGTGATATATGTATGTTTTAGATCGATAATAGTTTTGGTTTCTTAAATTTTAGTGAGTCCGTTCAAAGAGTTGCAAAATTTGAAGAAAATTTGTTAACAGAATTTAATATTCCGTCTAAATTTCCGGGTTGCGAAATCAAAAGGTACTTTAAAAATTTTTCTGTTAACAAAATTTAATCAAAAATTTAAAATATTAGTAAAATACTTTTGAGATTTAAAATATCAGTGCGGGCTACTTTCAGAATTTTTTTATGTGTTTTTCCTCTTTTTATTTCGTAAAAACTTGACAATGACCGTTTTCATATTGTTTATTGGACTTGTAGCCGTTTAAACCGTCTTCTCGTATCTCAGATCACTCTTTATGGGCCTTGATACACTCTACAAGCCCATTAGGTTTAATATAATAATTGTGATGAAGATAATCATTACATTAGAGACAGAAGAGCCACATCTTTTCATGCATTTGTACTTGCCCCAAGAGCCCATCACCAGTCTATGCACTACTCTAATTCTATACTCTACTATCTTCTTCACCAATTCCAAATTTCCAATTATAATCAAACCCATTTTAGTGTAGATAATGACATAAATTGACGTTTAAAAATGTGAGATCCAAAGCGATTATTTGGTACATATTTGTAAATCTTTGTGGTTTTAAGTTTGAATTTGTAACTGAGAAATGATAAACTAACAGAACATTTCATAAATCACATTTTTTTTGCGGAATTATTCTGTTATTTGAGTGAACAAAACAAAAAAGTCATTTTCAGAATTCTTGTCATTATGTTCCGATCAGAATCCAAAGAGTGCTATATAAACTAACAAAGTTAAAAATAATATAAGAAAACAAAAAAAATAATGAAAATCTAACTATGTACAATATTACATGAAACTAGTACCCTTTAGACAATGGTCTACTCTGAAAAACTGGTCAAGTCCTTTTCCTTCTTATAGATAGACACATCTAAAAGCTAATGCCATTTTCTTCCTATAACTTCTCTGTCTATAACAATATACGCAACTCCATTAGATGCAGACAACAACTAAACCAAAATAAACCAACAAAAACCAAAAACACTATAGAACAGAGAAAGCCTCCACGGACATCACAAGAAACAGCAACACTAAGCTCAGCTTCTGCTTTCTCTCCTAATATGGTAAAAGAAACAGAGTCTCTCAGTTTTTTTTGTTTTTTTGTTTAATGCTTCTCTTCTTTTCTTGTTCTTGAATCTCTCTTCGTTTGCTTGTTTTCAGGACAAAATCTCAGATGTTGTTGAGCCAAGAATTAGCACAAACCCATTCGCAGATGACTCACTTATAAGCAGAATCAATCTGAAGGAAACTGCAGATTTCATCAAATCGCTGCCAATTTCATCGAACCAAAGCAGTAGCAGCAGTGAGATGGTAAACGAAAGGAGACAAAGTTTCTCATCACAGAAGAGCATTGGAGAAGGAAGAAGCAGTGGACAGAGAAGAGTGATGTTAATGGAGTCTCCTTGTACTCCAGGTAGAGGAGTCTTCAGTTTCAGTAGCAGTGTCTCTGGTAGAAGACGAAACTTCCCTTCTAAGTGGGTCGACGCCGAGAAATGGGTCACCTCCGGTCATGAATCTCCGGCACATTCGTTCAAAAACAGTCAGATTAGTAATAACTCCCAGTTTGATGGGTTTAAGCACCAGGTTTGATTTCTGAAAAACCCTTACATTTTGGAACTGGGAATTTGATAAAGTTCGAATCTTTAGACGAGAATGTGAAGTCAGGGAAGTAGTAAACTGAAATTTCAAGAATGGGTCTTTGGATTTTGCAGGTGGAAGTTGTATACTCGGAGAAATCTAGGGTTACGGAGGAAAAGGTCTCATTGTCTCCACCAGATCTTATTCTTAAAGGTAAAAAAAAGAAGAAACCCTTTTGATAGATTCTCAAAAGTTTTGATATTTTTTTCTGTTGAAACTGACAGTTTATTTGTTTGATTCTGTGTTCTGTCAGATAAGTTAGCGAACGAAGTGCAGCAGATTCTCCCATCAACGGAAGGGTTTATATTCAGAGATTCCGACAAATTTATCCGTTACGAGGAAGAAGAAGAAGCTCAAATTCAACACAGAGACATCGGAACAGAGATGACACCAGTCGGAAGTGTAACGGCTTCAAGATGTCACACGCCGTTTATAAGCATGTCTCCGGCGAGACACAACACGCCTTCGAAATTGTCTGGTCCGTTAACAGAAACCAAAAACGTCATAGATATCTCCGAGTTCGCCGACAAGCTACGACTCAGTGGGTCCGCTGCGACTCAGTACTATAACTCGGTGACGAGTCATTGGAACTCGAGGGAGGAAGAAGAAGAAGAGATATCGAAGAGCTTAAGACATTCCGATATGGACTCTGAGTTGCGAAAAAGTGTTTCAGAATCTAAAGCTGCTTTATGGGATGGTGAAGACGACAAGATCAAATTTTGCCAAAGGTATAAACAAAATCTTGAAAGAAATTATAAAATCTTGAATTGAGTAGATTACAAAATTTCGAATATCGTTATGTAGATATCAAAGAGAAGAAGCCAAAATCCAGGCATGGGTTAATCTCGAAAATGCTAAAGCCGAAGCTCAATCCAGGAAACTCGAGGTATGTATGTGCATACGAATACGTATATTTTGGAACGTATAAAAATACGAATTTTGGTCTGTTCTAACGAATTTGTGGAGCCACGCGCCAACATTAGAGTAATGTCCGAAGTCCTTACACGACTTCATTGACTAGTCTTTGTTACTTTAGAAGCAAAAAGTCTTCGAGTTTCTAATTTTTTTTAAAAAGAGATGACATGTTTGTAGCTGTACTTGTAATTTGTGCAACTCCCATGTGAAAAAAGATCAGTATTTTTTAAAGTAATCTCCTCTCTTGGGAAATTGTAGACTTAGATTAAATTATTAATCATTAAGATTATGTAGCCTATATAGTATAATTACACAGGTCGAAATGATGAATTTGAAGAATTGATGTGTGATTTTTTGGGTGGTTTGTAGCTAACTAGCTATATATGATATGTGTAGTTGTAACTTGTAATTTGTGCAAGACCCACGTGAACAGATTAGTATATTTTCAGTAATTTCCTCTTTTGGGAAATTGGAGACTCAGATTATTAATCATAACAGTCCAAAATAAACAGTTAAGTGATGATGAATTTTGAAATTAATGTGTGGTTTTTGGAGTGATGTTTTTATTGTTTTAGGTGAAAATACAGAAGATGAGATCAAATTTGGAGGAGAAATTGATGAAGAGAATGGATACGGTGCACCGGAGAGCAGAGGATTGGAGAGCTACGGCGAGGCAACAGCATGCTGAGCAGATGCAGAGAGCGGTGGAGACTGCGAGGAAGCTGACAAACCGCCGTGGCTATTTGGTTGCCGGCCGTAGCTCATGTGGTTGTCTTCCTTGCAATAATACTTGTCCCTAGTAGCTTAGTTTAGTAAAAGATTTGAAAAAAACAAGTAAAATAGTAATACAAATTGACAAAAACAAGAAATTACTGTTTATGTGTTTAAATTATCAATATTTATGTTATTCTTTACTGTTTTACTTAGAGAAAATTCCAATATTTTTTTCGAAAATGGAGTTTATTTCGATAGCAATACGGAATATTGAATGGGAAAAAAATAAAAAATATGATCGAATAACAAAATTAGAAGATTATATTACATCAAACCATGATAAGTGGGTGAGTTCTATCTATAAGACAAAAAAAATAACAAACTTTTTAGTAAAAAAAATAAAAATAAAATAACAAACCCAATAATTATGTTTGAATTATCAATATTTGTGTTATTTTTTACTGTTTTATTCAGAGAAAACTCCAATATTTTCTTCGAAAATGGAGTTTATTTCGACAGCAATACGGAATATTGAATGGGAAAAAAATAAAAGAATGTGATCGAATGACAAAATTAAAAGATTATATTACATCAAACCGTGGTAAATGGGTGAGTTCTATCTATAAGTCAAAAAAATAACAAACCTTTTAGTAAAAAAAATAAAAATAACAAACCCAATAATTATGTTTGAATTATCAATATTTGTGTTATTTTTTACTGTTTTACTTAGAGAAAACTCCAATATTTTCTTCGAAAATAGAGTTTATTTCGACAGCAATACGGAATATTGAATGAGAAAAAAATAAAAGAATGTGATCGAATGACAAAATTAGAAGATTATATTACATCAAACCGTGGTAAGTATGTGAGTTCTATCTATAAAACAAAAAAAAAAATAAACCTTTTGGTAAAAAAAAATAAAAATAAAATAACAAACCTAATAACAAAAAATAAATATATATATATATATATATATATTTGACTGACTTAAGAAATTTGAAATTTCTGACTTATAAAATTTCTGAACATAGATCATGATTTTGAGACTAAACACATAGAATCTTAATTTCAACAGTCATTTTAGCTACCAATAAACGTTTTGAATAGCGATTTGAAAACAGGATATATCAAAGATTCTAAAGATTTAAAAAAAAAAAGTAAAGAAAATACTAACTAGTGTAGCTCTTTTTTTTGTTTTTTACTGTATTTATATGGCTATGGAGTTTTGTTCTTGTTGTTTTCTTGTTTAACTAAAATTTGAATTGTTGTTGTCATGTAAAAGTTTAAAATACAGAGAAAAAAAAGAGACTGACCAAAAGACAAACTTTTGCGTCTGGAAGGAGTAGAAGCCTCGCAACAAGTAGTCACAGCTTTTCTTCCTCCCCATACTATTTACAAGACAACACTCCTTCATTTTTTTCTTGTTCTTTTCTGTTTGGTTTTATTCACTCAACTATTTTGTTAAAAATCATTTATTTTGAGTACAGGCAAAAAAGAAATTATTTACACTGTCTATTTTGTCCTTTCTTTTATTGATTGTAGTAACACTTAAATTCTGACATTGAGTTCAAAAAGGACATGTTATCATCAATTCACAAATACTAGTAGACAGTATGTGAGTTTGTGTGAGTGTGACCGATCAAGTTTGAGAACAGAAAAATTAAGGCCTGTTTATGACACCCGTTACAAAGATAGGCCTATCAAAGGCCCATTCTAAAAAACGATGCGTTTCGAAGTCCATCTAACTTGTTGTTCAAGAAGTGCATCTTCTTCGGAAGCTACAAGAAGAGCCAACACTTTCGAAGATCAAGCAATCAGCTGGTGAGATTTTCTAATCTCAGCAAGTTCTTAGCGATTCTATTCTCTTATTTCCTGGGTTTCTGAAATTATACAGATCGCTTATTTTTTCTAGGCTTTTGATTCTATTTGTGCAGAACACTAAGGTTTTGCAGATCTATATCGCGGAGTGGAAGATGTTTCTCACTAGGTATCTATATGTTTTCTTCCTCCTTCTTAACCCAATTCTGTGTTCTTCTGCTTCTGGGTTCACTTAAAGTTTCGCTTTTTTTTTTTTTTTTTTTGCTTGAATCGTGGTTTTTGCTTATCTTAATTTCCGATTTTGTTGCTCGAAGGACTGAGTATGACAGAGGAGTCAACACTTTCTCTCCTGAAGGCAGGCTGTTCCAAGTCGAGTATGCCATTGAAGCTATCAAGGTAAATTTTCTATTTAGTTTCCCTGTAACATAGATAGTAGCAGAATCGAGAAAAAGTTGAAGAGAGGGTTTTTTCTTGGATAATGATTTTGGGGTTTTCCTTTGATTGATTAGCCTAGTGCTCGAATTTTGGCTAGCGTTTCCTTGTTTAACCGCTCGTAGTTCTTAGTGTGGTATATTGAGATAGGACTTAGACTGGATTTTTCACTGTGTATGCATTTAGAGTCTAATGGATGTAGCTAGCAGAATCATTGAGAAAATTTGAAGAAAAGGGTTTTTCTTTGACTGATTAGTGAGTGTATTCAAGAAATTTGGCTCATAGTTCCTTGCTTGACCGCTGTTATTGGAGATTTCCTCTGTGTATGGATTATATCTTGAGGCTCTGATCATTGTGGAATTGTTGCAGCTTGGTTCTACTGCAATTGGAGTGAAGACAAAGGAGGGAGTTGTGCTTGCTGTTGAGAAGCGTATCACCTCGACATTGCTGGTTTAGTTTCTTACACTGAATACTCTTTGCTTTCAAAGTTCTGATTTGTTAGGTTTCTTTGATTCAACAAATTGATTTGTGATGTGTGATGTAGCAATGCCCGTGGAATCTGAAATTTATTGTTCAAGTATTGGTTTTCTATGTTGGTTATGGTGATAATGTCATACTTCTCTTTGTCTTTGTTTCAGGAACCGAGCAGTGTGGAGAAGATTATGGAAATTGATGAGCATATTGGCTGTGCCATGAGCGGTCTGATTGCTGATGCGCGTACTCTTGTTCAGCATGCAAGAGTTGAGACTCAGGTGAGGTTTCTGTTTCTCGGTTCTTTTCTCTTAGCTTCAAAAGGTCTTTCATGTTATTGACTGCTTGCTTGCTGTTGTACAGAACCACAAGTTCTCGTACGGGGAGCCAATGACTGTAGAGTCCACAACACAAGCGTTGTGTGATCTGGCTTTACGGTTTGGTGAAGGAGATGAAGAATCAATGGTAATAATAATCAATAATGGAATCTCTTGTTTGCTTTCACATCTCTCTCAGCTTAGGCTATATGATTGAAAGAGTTCATCGATTACCTGAACAGAACCTTGTTAGTAGGAAATTTATAGCTTGTCCTGACATTTTGACTGATTCTCCTTTTTCTTCAATGTTACTACAGTCTCGGCCATTTGGAGTATCTCTTCTCATTGCTGGTCATGATGAGAACGGACCAAGCTTGTAAGTTCTTATTTACTTAGATGTTTTTTTTTCAACTGATGTGATGCACTTGCGAGTAAAGTAGTTTGATCTCTTTGTAAATGACGATGTCTTGTTACAGGTACTACACTGATCCGTCAGGAACATTCTGGCAGTGCAATGCAAAGGCCATTGGTTCGGGCTCAGAAGGAGCTGATAGTTCTCTTCAAGAGCAGTTCAACAAAGTAATAACATGGAACTTTTTTTCATTTTCTCGATCAATCACTTGATTGCATCACGTACTTTGCCATTAACATATCTCGTTTCATTATCTTGTTGCAGGATCTGTCACTTCAAGAAGCTGAGACGATCGCTGTCTCGATCCTCAAGCAAGTCATGGAAGAAAAGGTACAAAACGTTTTGAGTCGAAAGCTTTGCAATCTACAGAACTTTTTGGTTCACATCTAATTGTTCTGGTCTGTGTAGGTGACTCCAAATAATGTGGACATTGCCAAGGTAGCACCAGCTTATCATCTCTACACTCCACAAGAAGTCGAAGCAGTCATTAGTCGTCTTTGAGGAAGATTCTATATTCGGCGGAATCTAAAAGCAATCCTTAGAACAAAATTGTTTTCGATACAGAGAAGACAAGTGGCTCTTTTGATTTCTTTGTTTTAAAACACTTTTTTCGCACCAGTATTGCATGACAATCCATAAGACACATGTCTGTTTCTGTATCTGGATGTTATTTTATTTGGGTAGTTAAGACCAGTTTTATTTTTAATTTAAAAACTACATTTAAATGCAAAGTTATTAGATAAAATATGATGTGGTTTTATAATTGTGTAACTTTTAAATCTATTGCATGCAATTGATGCATACATGTGTTTTGGATGCAAATCATTATCATCCAATTGTTGCATCTAAACTCACACATGCTTCAAGATTTCAATGCGGTCTCTTCTCTAAACCGGGCTTAGTAATTAGTAGTTCATAATTCCCATCCTCACCTCAAACTTCATATGATGTGCACCAAGAGCCGGAAGATTATTCAAAAACTGCCTAAATATTTGTCATTGGATCATAAACTTGTCCCGAAAAGCTACTAATAACATAGATCTTCTCATTTAAAACACAAACAGAAGGGAGAACCATAACAATCCATAGATACAAGTCCATTTTGTTTCTTCATCCATACGTTATATCATGATGTTACTCTCTCTCTCTCTCTCTCTTCTCTCTCTCTCTCTCTCTCTCTCTCTCTCTCTCTCTCTCACTCTCTCTCTCTCTTAATTACTTAATTATCAAAACAATGACCTATTCTCTCAACTCAAAACGTGAAAAGAGAAACCAAAAAAAAATTTTCACTGTTGTTCCCATTAGCCATTGGTGACTGTTGAGTTGATACCTTGTTTTAAGTTCATGAGAATTATCTTAGTATGAGGAATTTATCTTAATATTTGGTTTCTTTGTTGTTACAGGGACTTGGAGAATGGCAGAGAAGATGAATATGTAAGCAAGAAGGACGAATCAGAGAATGTTGAAGATGAAAACGTCAATGGAAGAGAGAATGGAGAGAAAAACGTGAATGGTAATGATGTAGAAATCAAGAATGTTGAAGATGAAGAGGAATTTGTATGAAGACGTGATGAACAAGGATCCAAAGTTAGTTTTCGGACACAAATAGGATACACTTCTCACCAGAAACCAAACAAATTTTCATGCGACTTGTCTGGAGAACAGAAATAAGATCTTCAAGATAAAGCATCAGCCATTTGGTTTTAGAGATTCTTCATGTTCGGGACCACTGAGAAAACAGATCAAATAATATACGATTTTTGTTTGGGTTTTCTCTTAATTATAACAAGGAATTATTCTTATTTCTCTGCTTTTCAGATTTTCAACTCTTGTTTTAAAGCTTTGTCTAGTTTCTTTTGTTTTCTTTTGCTAACAAGCTTTGTCCAGTTGCGTCTTTCATGTCCTACATTTTTGTTCTCCATATTTTTTCCTACAATTGTCAAAAAAAATGTTTTCTTAATATTGACTTATCACCATGCCTGAACAAACATAATCAATAGTATAAGTCTGATCTTATTTGGTATTTATTCACTTGGGCATTCATACAACTTGTGAATTTAGATAATGCATCAGCAAAAATGTGATGAATGATACTGAACAGTGAACACCATAGACTTTGGGAGCTTTGAGTATATAACTTCAATCATATTAGAAATACACAAAATACAAACCGTGTCAAATAAATAAAAAGTAGATCGAAACCGCATGTTTTCATATAAAAAACTGAAAAAAAAAATCTAAAAAACTCCAAGTAACTAGTATGTCACTAAATTAAGATAGCTGGTGCGTAACTCCCGACGCCGGTATCCAATCACCGCCATGTAAAAGCGTAGCCACCGTAAACCTCGCAGCGTCGTCACTAGACATTACCGGTTTATACCCGGCCCATGTTACTCTCTGGGTTACATCCGACCCGGGACCCGTATTCTTATACTCTCCGTACACAATACTCGCCGGCGGGTCAACGCCGGAAACCCACGACATCCACCCGGAAGGTCGAACCACCGTTCCAATCTCCGTCTCCATAATCACCGTCGTGGAAAAATCCTTCCACGGCCGGCCGAGATACGTCGGAGCGGTCACATTGCCGTTGGCGGAGATGGTGCATCGCTGGATCGACATGCCGGAGATCTGGTTCGGGTCTTTCTTTCCCTGGGCGGTTATGGTGTTAAACTGGTTCCGAAGAGGCTGACGTGGCATGATTTTGCAGCCTTGGAAAACGACGGCGGCGCTTCCGAAGATGAAGTCGATCGTTCCGGTGACGTCGCAGTCGCGGTAGAATTGGCGGTTGGAGTGAGGGTAGAGTGTGTCTTGGAAACCGTCGAAGGAGCATTGGTAGTAGACTGAGAAATCGGAGCCTGACCGGAATGCCACCGCCTGATGTTTTGTTGCTCCGGCGGTGTTTATGATTCCGATGTCCTTCATTATGAATCCTTTGCCTTGTATAGCTGTCGTCAAAAGAAGAATAAATTAAAAAAAAAAACTATGCAAGCATAATCACATTATATAATCGAACAAAAAATTATATGATTACCAGAACAAAATAAATATATACGGAATCATATTCAAGAATCATATTCAAGAATCATCATATTGCTATTAGGCCATTCCATGGATTACTTGTTAACAAACTTCAAGAGACAGAGATAAGGAGGACATACCAAACGTCGCCGTTTCATAAGTAGGAGTCCCGTCGATGAAGTTCTTGCCGCCGGAAATAATGGTTTTGCTCTTTCCATCGCCGAAGATCATAACATTCCATTTACTCTTATCCATCACCACATTCTCAACATACGTTCCAGCTTTCACATAAATCACAAACACCTTCAAGCTCTTCTTCGGCACCATCGCCACCGCCTCGTTCACCGTCTTCACATCGCCGGAACCATCAGCCGCCACCGTCACATCAGGCTTCAGATTCTCCGTCTGCAACAACCTCCGTCGCGCCCACTCCGGCTGCTGATTCAAAAGCCGTCTTCTTCCGTGAATCGTAAACCCCAAATCGCTTAACGCAGCGAGGACCTTCGATACGATCGCAAGACTGTTGCTGGTGAACTCCGTGGATCTGCTCATGGCGGATTTCAGATTCTGCGTAATCGTCGAGTTCCGGTACTCTGTTTTGTTCCCGGCCAACTCGTCTATCGTATCGAAACACGTCTCGTGATCCGTGACGGTTGCGCTCAGCCAAGTCTTGAGATCCTCGACTCTCGACGAGGTTAGAGTTTTCTTCTTCCCGTCTTCGGACGCATCCATGGCGGAAACAGTGTCGTTGAGCCGATCTAACGCATCTTCGATCAGATTCCCGCAGACCCTTAACGCCGACTTGATCCTCTCGTCATCCGTCCCCTTGGCGAGATTCTCCGGCAAATCGGAAATCGAGTCGAGCTCATCGATGATTACTTTCAGCGACAGCTTAAACAGAGTCGTCGGATCTGTTGTGTTGGAATCCGGAAGCTTCGAGATACTATAAATACAAGATTCAGGGAAACGAGTTACGCTGCAAATGGTTTTAAGCGTAGTGGATGGAGTCAACTCGGAAGGAGGACTCGGTGCTGACTCGGACGAGTTTTTCTTCTTGTTGTGAACGACGGTTGCGACCACGGCGGCGATTACTACGGCGACGAGGATTACGACGAAGACGGATAGGAGAATCAGACGTTTTCTTGTCTTTTTCTTCAACGCTAAATCTTGAGCTTCGTCTACTTTTCCATATCCTTTGAAGGAGTTCACAGAATCCATTATCCTGTAAGTGGCTTAAGGCAAGCTCCTTTATTTGGTTTCTGGGTTTTTACAGAGATGTCTTTTGGGGTTTGGTATGTTCTTTTGTTAATGACAGAGAGACATGTGTTGTTGTTGTTGTCTTTTTATTAAAGTGTGGAAGCAAATGTGAATCTATTGAACGTGACTCGCTAATTCCATGGTGCTTCTTTCTTGGTGTGTGCAAGTGTGTGTGTGACAGTTGATCTATTTGCAAGTGGAGATTCATGATTACTTTGTAATTATTTGATTAATTAACTAGATTATAATCTCCATCATCTAACTTTTTTTGTCTTCCCCAATCATGTGCAACAATACCATGTCTTTTAACCATTGTTAAGTAAAGTGAATTAAGATCAAGATGCTAAACAGTGTGCCAAATTAAAGTCAAAGTCAACATTCTTTACTTTATAGTAGGCCTGTAGAAAGCGAACATTCTTCATTTTTACACATTTCAAGTATACACATTGGAAAGAAAGAAAAAAAACACATGAAAACGTATACAAACAAAAAGAAAATTGAAGACAGAAGAACATTATCTTGCAACATTAAATTGGTCATGTGCGTTTCTAAATTCTAACAAGTGGCGTCTCCATCTAAATCTCTTGGGCCTTAAAACCGACAAGACATGATTCCCGGTTATTTTATTTGATGAATTAGAATCAACCGATTTAATCCAGGAATAGTTCGGTTCTCTACACCCGAAGACCAGAGCTGGCCCAGAGGAAGCCATCACTTAGAGCTATTAATATTTTTAAAAAAAATTAGGTTAAAAAATAGACCACAAATTTTAAAAAAATTTAAAAAATGACCACAAATTTTAAAAAACCAAATAAAATTTGCATTTTCTTCTTTTATTGAACCACTATTTTAATTAGACTGGATCGCCGAAGAGATACCATTATGGATTTGTTTTGCATTGATTGTATGTTCTTCTGCAAGACTGGAACTATATATGTATAAAGTATAAACTATTAATCTCGGTTTGGAATTGGTTTAAATCAGTTTGATGTTAATCCGGCTTACAACTTGAACCTTTTTTGGTTGAGCACAAATCCGTTTGTTTTATTTTAAACGCGTTAGATAATTATCATGTTGTTGTTTGGGAATACATAATCATTTAAGTATGAAAAAGTCAACATTAATTAAGGAAACGTAAATGTAAGCTTTAATTTTTTATGAATCCAACTTCAAGCTTTTATGTTTTCTTTTGTCAACTATAAAGTGTACAAGCAAATGCGAATCAATGAACATGGCTTGCTAATTCCATGGTGCTTTCTTGGTGTGTGCAAGTGTGCGAGTGATCTATTAATTTTTTCTTTTCTTTTAACAATGTGACTACGTGAGTGATCTATTAATTGCATGTGGAGATTCATGATTACTTTGTAACTATCTGACTAAACCCCTAATCAAGTGCAGCAGTACCATGCCTTGTCATTCATAACTCATAACTAAAGTTAATATATATCAAGATGCTATATTTGGCTTAAGCACACATAGTTTCTAAGGGTAAAAGATACAAATTCAAATTGATCACTCTTTACAATTCAAAGTACTAATTGTCGGTACTTTTTTCAAGTGTATGTATAAACTTTGGAAACAAGAATATCATATAGTAATGCGTCAGAATTTTTTTTTGTTGTACCTTCTTTGTTCTTGTTGATTCTAAGAAAACATTGTATTAATATGTACATATAGGCAGGACCGGCTCATAGGCTAAGCCGTCCAAGCAAATGATTATGACAACAGTATTTTAAAGACATTATCTTAAAATATGTTTATTATTAGGATTACTTACTTAGAAATATTTTCTTTAAATATTTTATTTATTATGATTAGTTCTACATAAATAAAATTTTAATTTTCTTATAATAATAATGTTTATTATTGACAAAAAATGTTTATTAAGTTTTTGTTAGCAATTTTATGGGTTTTTATTAATAAACATACTAATTAAGTTTGGTATTATGTTTATTAATTAAATTACAAAAATGAAAGATTGTTATATAAACATGAGTAATATCGAAAAAAATGAAAAAATCTTATACAAACATCTAAATTGCTTGTTGCATTTATTGACTATTTTAGTATTGGTTCCCACTATTGAAAGAAGTTTTTTTAAAACTGAACATAATTAAAAATTATTTGTGATGTACAGTATCAGAAAAGAAACTGAATAAATTAGTTTGTTATTGATTAAGATAAGTATGATTGAAAAACTCGATTATGTGAATTTAATCAATGATTTTGCAAGAAAAAATGTAAATAATACTATTTTTTTTTTGTCAACATAATTTTTTTTACTGTTTTTGTTTCAATTTTTATAAATCATTTATGAATTAAGATTATTTGTTTGGAATGAAGTTTTAACTATAATTTTTTTTATTTTCTAGTTTTCATAATATAAAATATAATATATAAAAATGCATATTTTTAATTGTATAGGGCATGAAAAATCATTGGACCGACACTGCATATAAGCTATGAAAACTGACTTTGGTCATTAAATATGAATCATCTCCGTCTCTCGCATCTTTTAGCTGGACCTGAATCAAACATCGCACCTGGTTTAAATCAGTTTGATTTACCCTGGCGTACAATTTAAATCTTGCTTTAGTTTAGCCAAACCCAGTCCAATAAAAATAGTTGTTTAAAAGACATAAAAAAGAAAATGCGAAGTTTATTTATTTTTTTAAAATTTATAGCTCATTTTAGTTTTTTTTAAAAATTTGTGGTCCCTTTTTTAACTTAATTTTTCTTGAAAATATTGGTGGTTCTAAGTCATAGTTTAGCTTATCTGTCCTCTGAACCTAATTTGAATTCAGCATAATATTGATACACATGTGTAGATAGTTAGGTACATAACTTAATTCTACGGGAGTAAGTTTCAAATCTACTAAACCAAATCTTTATTGATTAATATGATAATGGAAGACAAAATAATCACTCAATTTGTTTTTTTTAATTTAAAGACTTAGCAAGAAAGGGAAACCGGTCGACGCTAACCAGCCTCCACCACCAATAAATTGACCCGCCGTAAATTGCTGAGCCTCTGTAGCACTCGAAATCACCTTAAAGCCCTTCCACTTTACTCTATTTGCAGTTCCAGCCCCTCCTCCTCTATTCAAATACTCTCTATAAGTCAGAGTATCCAACGCAAAACTTCCGCTCCACTCGAGCCATCCTTCGGGTTGGATCACATTGGAGATATCCGATTGCATTATCACCGTCCTCGAATATTCCTTCCAAGGACGACCAAGATACGTCTTGAAACTTCCTTTCACGGCCAAAAGATCCGACGTGGCACCAATCCGACAGTTCTGAATCACAATCCCAGTGTTTTGATTCGGGTCGGACCGGCCTTGAGCCGTTACCATGTTTTTCTGGTTGGAGTTTGGCCGGCGTGCGTTTATATCGCAGTCTTGTAAAACCGCGGCTGCGTTTCCGAATATGAAGTCGACGGTTCCAGCTATGTGACACTTGACGAAGAATTGACGGTTCGAGTGAACGTAGAGTGTGTCTTGATAAGCTAACATGTCGCAATTGTAGAAAGCGGAAAAATCCGACCCGACCCGGAGAGCCACCGCTTGATGTTTCGACGGACCCGCCGTGTTTTCGAAAGTGATGTCACGCGCTAGGAATCTCTCGCCGACGGCAGCTGTACGTAGTCATCAAAAAGTTATTAGTTAACTGTAGAATTAGTTTATTTTGTCTATGACTACAAATTAAATGTCCCTTATGTGTGATACCGAATTCCTCGTAAACTTTTGAACTTTAAAAAGTAACATCAATAATTTTTTTTTATAAATAAAATGGAATAACGAAAATATTAATTAAAAACATAGGATAGAAATTCTACTTTTCTATCACAATATTGGCTAAATAAATTTAGTATAAAATTAGAACTTAGAGAGGAGTAGACTAAAATATACCACAAAAATAAAATCTATTATCAAAATACTTAAACTTTGTGGTATTTTTGGAGTTCTAGTGAATTTTTTTGAAAAGAAGACATAAAATGTCATATATTTGAATCTTACGCTAAATTTATAAGTCTAAACTGTAATTAGTAAAAAAGTCTGCAAATAGTTGAAAATGATCTATTTCCTATATTTTCCTTTAAATAAAAGTTGAAAGAAAACGAAAATTTAGTATTTAGTTATTTACCAACGGTGGCGGAGTGGAAAGTGGTGCTTCCGTCAACGACGTTTCTACTTCCGGTGATGATAGTTTTCCCTCTCCCGTCTCCCAAAAACACTATGTTCTTCTTCTTCTTTGTCACTACCACATTCTCTTTATAAACTCCTGTTTTGATATGTATCACAAACCTCTTATTACTCTTCTCCGGCGCCGCCGCTACCGCGGCAGCAATCGTCGTAAAGTCACCGCTTCCATCAGCCGCCACCGTGGCGTTTACCTTCACCGTTGGCCCTTGAAGAAGCCTCCTGTCTCCAACAGATAACCAATTTGGCCATCCTTCTCCGTCGAAGTCGCCTGTAACCTCTTTGAGCTTGCGGTTGTTGGTGGAGGTGGACTTGTCTTTTAGCTCGAAGTTGGCTATGTCGGTCTCTGTCATGTTCTTGATCATTGCTAGTGCGTTGCTACACATCTGCTCCACGTGTACTTGTTTTGATCGCTTGAATGGTAAGCTCTCAATTACATTTTTGTTTTTATTCTAGTGAAGGAAATGTTTGTATATGTATCAATAAGAAGTTCGTACTATATATAATTTAGCTCTAATTAGGGACCGAATAATCATTGTATTTTTCTATTCTCCGATAACTCGTACGTCAAAGTTAATGTTTCGACTTAATTCTAAAGCAAGTTACATAAAATTATTTATATATATAAAAAAATACTTATCATTGTGTTGAAATCTGAAAAATGTCGATAATTTAAAAGATGTTTAGAGTAACTAAGTAAAGTTAAACATCAAAACTTATTGGAAACTAAAAGTCGTGCATACTACCAGTCCTTGATTTAAAAGATGTTTCTCTGCGTTTTAATTTAAAATTTACTCATCTGTTTTTTAAGAGTACCGTTACTATATATAGTCTATAATTTCTGTTTGCACAATTAAAATTGTTCAAAACAGTATCTTAAGAGCACCAATGCAGGTCTGTCAAAGAATCTCTCAATTTAAAAAAATAATAAAATAAAAAAGGAAGAGAGAATGAAATGAATTTTTCATATGAAAGACTTTGAAAATTTTTCTAAAGATTCTTGATACACTTATTTTATTGTGAAAGATTCGATATTTTTTGTTTTTTAAAAAATTAATTTAAAAATTGAACTATACTAGATATAATAATTAAATATTAGATGAGAGACTCAAATGACCAATGCAAATGGTCTAACATTTCGAATCCGAACAATCATTCTCATACTAATAAATAAATAAATTAAAATCAGATAACAAAACTCTGGAAATGATTATTTATTAAAACGTTCAAATAAATTGACGTACCTGGCCCTTCTGTAACACCTTGCGAACTTTCCGATCAGCGTTGTCGTAGGAGAAGCCGTCAAGGCAAGTCTCTTGGTTGGTAATGGCTGAGCTGATTAGCGTTTTCAGATCATCGGCATGTTTCCTCAAAGATTTTCCGTTTGGATACTGATGAAGATCCTCCAACGCCACGTGGAGATCATCTAACGTCTCATCGGTAGTCTCCAAACAATCGTGAAGCGCCGTTTTCTCACGCGCCGTCAAGCCTTTCCTTTTCGCTATCAGTTTCTTGACGGCGAAGTAATTGTGTTGCACGGCGTTTGTAATTAGGTTCAGAGACGCTTCGATGACGTCTTTATGTGACGCCAGCTTTTTGCCGGTGGATGCCACGGCGGAGAAACAGAGCTCCGGGTAACGAGTTGAGCTGCAAACGGATTTTAAAACGGCGTGTGATATTGGGGAGAGGGTTGTGGGTTTTTGGTTTGTGTTTTGGTTTGCTTTTGTGGTGGCGATTCCAACGACGGCGGCAAATAACAGCAAGAGTAAGACGGCAGAGGAGAGTACGAGTTTCTTGTTGTTCTTGAAATCGGAGAATTTGGTTATGAAATCTTTTAATGGTGCCATTTTGTTTTGGCAATGCTGTTTGTGAGGAAATAGAAGATGGTGGAATGTTTTACCTGTATGTAATTATTTGTGTGGTACATTTTCAAGCTTCCTTACGCCCACTTTTGGTATCATATCTCGTATAAATTTTCTAAATTATTTTGAAGTCATTTATATTATTTTCTGATCATTTAGAATGTAATTTTCTTGATTTGTACGAACATGCGATATTTTGATTTCCGTCCGAGGAAAGAAGCGACCACTCTCGTCCACGCTGATAAGTTTTCATACTTATTTAATCTTTAGAAATATACTTCAAAGAATCTCTGTACATTTGTTTTAGTCATGTAGATTACACATCTAAATTAAATCGAGCTATACATTTTTTCTTTTTCTTTTACGACTCCAACTATATAAAATTTTAGAAAATTAGAATCATATCCAAGACTGCAACTGGAATACCTTTTTGTGTAAAAGATTTATTGGAACAATTTGATATATTCTATATTTTGAATGGAAAAGAAAAGCAAAACCTTCTTGAAACTTATCCTTTTTATTCCACTTCCAAATACAGATGAATAAATAGGATGAATGGAATTCACTATTATACTAATAATTTTTTTTTTATTCCATATTATCTATTATCCCATTTTTTTCCATTCCATTTATAATCATTCTTTTTATTCAATATATTCATGTTAACTGTAACCAGTTACAGCCCAAATATTGTCGACAACTGTCTGTCGTTTTAATAGGTTTTCGTCTTATGGATAAATTGTGTTTAGTAAAATATCTCAGTATTTACTAATTACTAATACGCAAATGAAGGTCTGTACTCGTCACTGGATATGCAGTTTTGCATGTAAAATGATCGTTCAAATACTAGCCATTCTGACCTTTTTTTTGTGTCAAATATAACCATCCCTGTTTAGATTTTAGTTATAAAAAATTACATATAAGTTAGAAAATATCTCCCGATCCGAAAAAGTTATATAATATCTTAGGAAATAGTAAGAGGTAGGTGGTTATAAACTTTGAAAATTAGTGTAATATGAAACATTGGATCAATTTTAATGTTATACATGATAGTACTTTCTTAGAGAACGAGTAAGGTATTTTTTAGTTGTCACGTATAACAAAAATCCCTAATAAGCAATTAAGTATGCATCATATCCATTCGGTGACACCGAACAATCACTTTAAATGAAGAATGAATATCGAAAAAGAAGAAGAGAAGAATAGTGAATAAACTAATATTCGCTCTTGCTGTCAACTAGGCTGCAGGACTGTCACGGCCTCACGAGATTCATCTTCATTTTGATGATTGAGCCTCGAGAAATTAAATCTTAAACATGATATCAAATAAAACCCCTTAATTTCTGCTTGCAAGCCAAGAACTCAGAAACTTGTTCTACAAGCCTTCATCCTATTATTGATCACAACCGTTGATCAAAAGACGCCGACGAATTTGACGTCACTGAAGGATTTTTTTGTTTGTTTGTTTGTGAAAAAGAGTGGTGATGAAAGTATTTGGCCTATATAAAGCCCATTTAGGATCGTCGATGTGTATAAAAAGTCAGTTTGAATAAAGAAAAGCCGCAGAAGTCGATTTCTTTCGTGTTAGGTCATTTATAGGGTTTGAAAGAGCCGCCATGAAAAAACAGAAGCAGCAGTTCTCTGACGATCTATCGATTACACAGTCATACAACTCGGTAAGAGAATAATCAGACTCGATCCCATCTGATCTCCTAATCGAGATACTCCTGAGAGTCCCGGCAAAGTCTATAGGTAGGTTTCGTTGCGTATCGAAATCATGGAGAACTATACTTCGCCTTCCTTATTTCACTGAGCTGTTTCTGACTAAGTCTTTGACTTGTCCACGGATCTTGTTCGCCATCAAAGATGAAAATGGAGTGCTATCCGTCTTCTCTTCACCTCAACCTCAAATTAATCATCTAGATGGTGAGGAGTATTCTCTTGTAGCCACTCCTTGTAAACAATTTCCCGAATATATCCGATCTGGAATGGTGGGTCAAATCTGCCCCCCGCTCGATGGATTGCTCTTTCTTCATGGACGGGGAAAAATAAAGTTGACGTTGATTTGTAACCCCGTCACTGGAGAGTCCATAACCTTACCCCAAGTGAAAGCGACGGGTGTTAAACGAAGCTATTTTGGCTATGATCCCATCAGCAAACAGCAAAAAGTGTTGTGTATGATCCGCAAGCCACGCTATGGGAGACCCAATACTCATCGGGTTTTGACATTGGGGGATGGAAAACGTGTTTGGAGCAGCACCATGGAATGCAAACCCCATTATCCTCATGAACCTGGAATATGCATAAATGATGTTTTGTATTACGAAGCTATCTTTGAAGAAGGAGATGATTATACTTATATGATAGTTTGCCTTGACTTTAGGTTTGAGAAGTTCAGCTTTGTTAAGATAAATGAAGAAATGTCACGTGGAACAAAGTTTATGAACTACAAAGGTAAATTATGTGCACCTTTTTTAAGAGGCAAACTTGTGTTGTGGGTTCTGGAAGATGATGGTGGAGAACATAAATGGTCCAAAACTATATGCCTACTGCCTCCTTTTTGCGACAACATCAGGAACTATTTTAGCGTTCAAACCCTTGCTGCCTCTTCTTCTACAATATGGAGAGGGACACTTATACAAGAGTCAGTATTCATGGGTTGCCAGAGCTAATTAAGCGTTCCCCTTTTTTTTGTAACATCTTTCTAGACTATGTAGAGAATGTGACACTTATGTAAGTGTGTTTAGGGCTTCGTAACTCGAGACTTTCAACTCTTATATGGTACTATTGTTCCTTTTAAGATTGCATGGGTTTTAGGTTTTATAATAATACAGCTATTTTTTGCTTTAAATTCTTATCACAATCATAATCGTGTGATCTTTAGTTAGCGAATTCTTATATATTTCTGTTGGCTTTTAGATTTGCTTTTGTCTTTTCAAGACTTGCTTGGGAAGTCACAGTTTCTCTCCAACCGATGTCTGCTTGTAACCTCGATGTCAACATTCGATCCCAAGCTTATGTTGCTGTCTGATCTTAGACTTGTCAAGTCACTGCTTGAATCGCTTAACCGGTCAAGGAAGATGCAAGCATAATATAGTACTTGGTTTTCGTTTTTCGGGCTCCCATTCTATACACTATGGAACTAAAGTTTGAATCTCGGACTCCGATTGGTAACAATTATGACTGTAAGTTGTGACTGTGTAAAATTTTGATTGTAAAAACTGTGATATAAAAAAATTATTTATTATAAAAATAAGTAAAAGGATTAAAAACTGTGGTTAATTCTTATTTTCCATACTTTCTAATTAATACTAAAGACAACATAATAATAAAGTGATGTAAAATATGGTGATATGAATTTTAAAAGAAGAAGGAAAAAAATGTAATGATTAATCTATATAGAAAAAGTTGTGATAAAATCAATATAAATTTGAATATAGATTTTAGTTATTATGAGAAGAAGAAAAAGTTTTATTTTAATAAGAAAAAAGAAATAAAAAGATTTTTTTATTTTCACAGCCACATTTAAGAGATTTAAAAAAAAATAATACAAAAAAAGAAAAAAAAAATTGAAATTGACTGTGAAGACTTTAAAATAAATAAAAATAGTAAAAGCATGATTGGTAAAATAAGAGCTGTAAAAACTATCCTATTTCCTACAGCTTCTGCAGCATCAACGCCAATCGGAGCCGTCGGTCAGTCGGTCAACTTTTGCACATGGTTTAAATCAATTTGATTTTCCCCGGTGTTAGAGGGGAAATGAACACATTTTCTAAAAAAAATTTCTCTAGTAATAACCTAAATCCACCAAGATCAAGAAGACTATGTCGATTTAGCTCGAAGAAAATAAAATCTCTTAAAGAATAATCTTGGAATCTGGAAGCATCAGATCAACGCAAATGATAAAAGAAATTTTTCATATTCTTTGGAGAATAAGAAATAATTTCATATAGTGAATATGGAAATATTCACCAAAAAGAAAAAGAAAAAGAATTCGGAGCAACCGACCTCATATCCTTATAAATAAAAAGACCTTGAAATTTAAGAGATCAACTAAGACAATCTAGAGAGCAACAAAGCGAAAACCAAGAACTCTAACGCTTTCTAGTTTATTTCGCAAACACTTTCTTTTCATCTCGACATAGCCTCTCGATTAAGTCATCTCTTATAATCGCTTTACTTTATAGTTATTAATAAAATTCTTATTTCCTAAAACCAATAACTGTTAATCAAATTCTTAATAGTGATTTTCTGATTCAATACCTGACTTACATTTTGAACCATGCTTTTGTTCAGCATAATATTGATACTACATATGTGTAGATAATTACGTACATGTGTCAACTTTGGCATAGCTTAATCTTACAGGAGAAAGCTTCAAATTTACTAAACCAAATCTTTATTGATTAATAACGGGAGATAAAATAATCACTCAATTTGTTTTTTTTAATTTAAAGACTTAGCAAGAAAGGGAAACCGGTCGACGCTAACCAGCCTCCACCACCAATAAATTGACCCGCCGTAAATTGCTGAGCCTCTGTAGCACTCGAAATCACCTTAAAGCCCTTCCACTTTACTCTATTTGCAGTTCCAGCCCCTCCTCCTCTATTCAAATACTCTCTATAAGTCAGAGTATCCAACGCAAAACTTCCGCTCCACTCGAGCCATCCTTCGGGTTGGATCACATTGGAGATATCCGATTGCATTATCACCGTCCTCGAATATTCCTTCCAAGGACGACCAAGATACGTCTTGAAACTTCCTTTCACGGCCAAAAGATCCGACGTGGCACCAATCCGACAGTTCTGAATCACAATCCCAGTGTTTTGATTCGGGTCGGACCGGCCTTGAGCCGTTACCATGTTTTTCTGGTTGGAGTTTGGCCGGCGTGCGTTTATATCGCAGTCTTGTAAAACCGCGGCTGCGTTTCCGAATATGAAGTCGACGGTTCCAGCTATGTGACACTTGACGAAGAATTGACGGTT